CTACAATATATTCAACATCGGGATTTTAGAGCTAATATTTACAAAAAACACCCGATAAAGGGACTAGAGAGCTAGTCTTTACACAGTATTACCTAACACATAGACTAGAGAGCTAGTCTTTACACATAGACTAGAGAGCTAGTCTTTACACAGTATTACCTAACACATAGACTAGAGAGCTAGTCTTTACACAGTATTACCTAACACATAGACTAGAGAGCTAATCTTTTCACAATATATCCGACACAGGGACTAGAGAGCTAATCTTTACACAGTATTACCTAACACATAGACTAGAGAGCTAATCTTCACAGTATTACCCAACACATAGACTAGAGAGCTAATCTTTACACAGTATTACCTAACACATAGACTAGAGAGCTAATCTTTATACAATATATCCGACACAGGGACTAGAGAGCTAATCTTTATACAATATATCCGACACAGGGACTAGAGAGCTAATCTTTACACAATATACCCGACACAGGGACTAGAGAGCTAATCTTTACACAATATACCTGACCCTGTGACTAGAGAGTTAATCTTTACACAATATACACGACACAAAGACTTCAGAGTTAACCTCAAGACAACCACACATTTATCACGATGTACCATATATATAGCCTACAAAGAGACTACAGCGTTCCCTTTTCTTCAACAGACGCAATCATATCGGGATATTAAATATTCAATGTTCTTCAAACGAACCTTTTCATTATTTATAAAAAGAATTGTTTAAAATGGTCTTAAAATATCGCATGAATCTATGCAAAATAAATGGAAATAAGATAAACCACACCTTTAGACGTCTAGATTATCACAAATTGTTTCACGACGTAACACATTCCGGCTCACATGTCCCTGTGTGCGTGCGCGCGCGCGCACACACACACACACACACACAAACACACACACACACACACACACCACCACCACCACCACCACCACACACACACACACGCACACACACACACTTATGTACGTACCATGTTCTTGTATATGAAATGGATGTTAATGAATGCTAGTAATCGGTAATTACACAAGTAGTAAATACATACATACCAATGCCTAATTGGTGTATTCTTGTCATTTAGAGTGATTTCGTAATAGCTGACGGACAAGATAAAGAAATTCTTTATGTTCAGTATTATCACGGGTTTTACATAGTAATCTACAATGTGGGTGTATTTCGTAACTTGTAAAGATATTAGTAGTGACATATCCTATTAACTAGTTTTGAATTGAACATTAAAAAAAATCTTATAAATACAGTAATTTAGGTCATCAGATTTTATACACGAGGTGAATTGGTGGTTATGTTAGAAAATATCTTTGAAGCTGTAATACTGAGTAAATACTTTAACCTAAAATTCTAAAACGTCTTGATCGTTTGATCGTATTACTCTGCAAATTTAGATAGGTAGGGGAGATTCATGAATTCTGGTCGGTTGTATTTTTATTTTTATATTTGTAATAAAATACTTTGATGATTTATTCTCGTTGCGAAAGAAATTCACAGAAATTTAAGATAAATGGTTTTAAAGTAATTGCTATATCTTCACCATATGTGATAATTACGATAGAAATGAAACGTCATCATTTAATTAAAATTCAATGAGTGAAATTAACAGTATGTGTGTTGTACGTGTGAACCTATGTATATCACCACTCAGGGTCATTCTTACGATAAGGACCATCGCTAGGTCACCATACTTATTTTTCGATGTGGTGAAATCATTGCTAATCAATCAATTATTTGTAACGGGCATGGACCGACCCTCCTATTGTACCTTGTACTTTTACTGTTACACGTCATACCATATACTGTATAACTGCTGATTTTCGTGGGAATGATAGATATTTCCGCTTTTATAAGCGAAATCGTGAAATTTTGATGTGTGAAATAATATCATTGGGGGTAAAACTAGCACTTTAATATCCAGAAGTGTCATTTACTCTTCAGAGCTCAGTATTGTAATACATACGTATTCTCTGGAGCTGTTGGGAATATGCGGATTTTCATGTCATTGAGATTCTGAATTAGTTTGTGGGTAATATGTGCTTTGTCGTCCTGTCTCCTAATGATACGTGTATTCAAAAGTATCTTTTTAAATTTATCAGGTACTGTATTACGTTGATATTTCACGGAAAAACTGTTCAAGATTTCTCCTTGTAACATATGTATGGTACTGATCTTTATGTAGAGTAGATGAGCTCCGAATATGGCTAAATATACAGCTGATATTTACGTGAATTTCCTTTTGTTCTGGACCTTGAAAAAGTTCATATTAATTTGAAGAAAACTTTTATTTATAATTAAATGCAACTATTGAGCAAACACAATTTACAAGTGTTGTGTGAAATTGGTAATATGAAACAGCCGATATCTCACTCGCCTTGCACTTTATAGAGAATACTTTCTATAACCAGATTCTCAATGTATGTCCTAAACGATGACGTAATCAAACGATGGTAAACGACATTATTATTGAGTTTGGGTTTGAATAGATAAAATGATAATTAAACTCTGTCCTTAAGAGTTGACCTACTTGAAAATTATTTGAGTGTTGAATTACGTTTTCTTTCATTTACAATCAATATCTTACTATCAATATAGAATATTTGGTATGGAATACATGATGATAAATGTACACAATAGTGTGAAATCTACGAGCACTTCTATTGTCTTTAGGACTCTCAATTATACTATAATTGTGGTGATCGACACCTTAGTAAATCCCCAATGTTTGACATGCAAGCAACAATCTCAATAATAATGACCTGAATTACCGGTTCACTATTTACATACGGGCTATTTATTTGAACCCCGGATGTTTTAATGATTGAACGACATCAGTCTGAATACTAATTGATCAAATATGCTGATTGATCTTTGCTCAGTGACAAACATAAACATTATAAATGATAAACACAGGAATGAGAGTAATCGTAATATTTTGGTCTAATTTAAGACGTTCTATCGGATAAGCAATTGTGCGTGTCAGCGATTTTAATTGGTAGTAGAATTTTATATGGAACTTGGGTTCAAAATTTGTGATCGTGTGTGACGTTAACCTGCATGTCACCTTAGGCTGGTTAAACGCGTCTACAAACGTGAACACCTACCGTAAGAGTCCATTTCACTTTCTAGATTTTCAAATATTTGACATTATGCAGCAAATACTAAAAATACCCCGAATGCAAATTGTGTAGTTGATACGACCATGGAAAAGTAGATACAACGGCATGAACACTTTTGCGTTGCGAATTATTCAGTACCAGGTGAAACAAATAGCTAGAGTCAAACCAATCATTTCTTCGGCATTCATATTCTGAATCAATAATGAAGTACAGGTGAGATGTATTTTTCTTTAAAAGGGTCCCGCATCGAAGTGTGCCCTACCTACTCAGGTTGTCTGACTGTCTGTCCATTTTTGTTTCAGCACAATATTAACAAACGGGTCCCGAGGTCAAATGTCAAGATCATGGTAGCTATGAATAGAAATAGGTTTTTGTAAAATATCTTCAGTTCTCTTTGGATAACTACACTCGGAATTTCTCCATTGCTTCTTTACAGGAAGTGTTATAGTTCTCAGCTACTTTTCGTGCTACACTATCAAAAGGTCAAGGCTACTGTTACTATAAATAGAAACGAGAATGTAAAGCAAACATAGATACCCGGATGTTACTGGTAAATCTTCACTTACCTGTGACATAATGACGCATTATTAGTTAAAATCAAATGAGGAGAAGTCGCGCGGCTACAGGTTAAGGTCACCTGGTCAAAGATGGAGGTAAATTTTTTGTGTCTATAAACAAAAAAAAAGCACCTCATTATCAGTGTTATACGCTGGATAAGAGTCTGACACAATATGGGACCCTTCCTGACATGTGTCAGTATTCTAGCTCAAGATGATCAATTTGAATGACCTTTATTCTTTCTTCCAGTTATAGATCGTTCGAACAAGCTACATGGAACTACTGAACATGTACATGTAGCAGACCCCTTATCCTTACAGGTATATATGATCTACATAGAAAGTATTTGAACATTTAGATAAGATATGATGCAGATCGGAGCTTTAGAATGATACATCTCCAGGTACTACATACATGTAGATATCACGGCATTAGCTACCCATCAGTCTAACGAGACAATAGACAGACAACCAAGCTATAAAGTTATCAATAATATGATATGCTTTCATCGTACAGGTTTGAAAATATTTCATGACAGAACCTCACCCCCACCCCCTTCCCCTCCAAAAAATATATATACGCAATTTAATATTTGTGTAATAGATATATATAATATTTCAATATTTCATATCATTATGATATAAATAATATCAATTTACATAAATCAATGAAATTTCGTTTGCATTGTATATATAATGTATAATGTATATATAATACATATCATTATTATTTTCATGACCATCTCTCTGTGACATAAATGTATAATTTACAAGGTGAGCTCTGCAATATAAGACAAGCAGGTGAATTATCTAAGTAAAGCATGATTATAAGTGGCTTCATCTTCTTGGTTGTTATTTGCTGTCCAAAGATTTGTTCGCTTTCAAACAACTATGGTCATGAAAACCGATTAAAACATTAGAAAATGGCTAAAAGGCAAGTTTGTATATATAAGGTTTTTTAAGTCCACTGCAATGTACATGCAACGTCTACATCAAGTTTTAGATGCATTACATACAGTGAGATTAATAGATGTGTATATATGTATACAACAAAGATGTTTCCTTAACTAGAGACGTAAAACTTCGTTAACTGTAAAAACCCAAACACGGGGGTAAACTCGACCATCAGAACAGCTACGCCACCACCGTCGTCTGGTGATTGCGCGGGAAGCTATGCATGCTATGCGGCGACGTTCGGAAAACTCTAGCTGATGATTTCTTGATGACGTCATCAATCTTAACGGTTTGGTCGACTTCAGCAACGGAAAGGCTTTACCGTGAAGTAAATGACATTCTCTATGACAAGTTTTCAGCTACATCCGGTTATATAAGGCAGTTTGACGTCCAAAGAGTACAGTTAACTGATGTATCCCAGCAAAACCTTTATGCAAAAGTTAAGAGTTATGCTACAGGTGCGCGCTTGTACTTTGACAGTTGAAGATTGATAATTTGCCTGAAGCTGTATAACGTTAACGGAGAACGCTTGCTACCTAAATAACGTAAGTATGTTTTGTTTTATAAATTCCTCAACATCCTTTATACTATAAAAAAAATGTTTATAACACAATAAGACCAGTATAGATTTATGAACATCTGGCTTTTTATTGCTGTTTAAAACAATAAATCAACTTCTAGATATATCATACACAGGTAAAATACCTTCCTAAAGATTGCCAACTTAATTCAGTTAAACGAGGATAAAGTTCTGTGAATTCATAACCATTTGATATGACAATATATACATTTTAAAATATATGAATGAGTTTAATGCGCAGTTTTTGAAAATAAAGAATGTTTTAAGCTGATATTAATCATAGTAGTGTCGTATGTTTTCATCAGTGCAATTCAGAGCCAGGAGCAAAATAATTAGAAACAAGCCACTTTATGTTACGAAATATGAATAATTAAGAGCTAAAAGCTACGCGTTTATACACATACCAACATGTCTCTTCATCATAATAATTATATACATATATGGTATCACGTGATGTAACCCTACTTAGTTGGTAGCTTTAAATGTCAATTAGACGAACCCGCTTGTTCACGAATGCAAATTGTAAGTGCTTCTGGCTTCTTGCGCAATCTGCTAATTAAGCTTTTCGGGAAGTCTGTGTTGACACACGTTCGGTGACTATGAAGGCCTTACAATGTGTTTGCTTATTTTCTTTCTTTCAACGTCTCTCTGTGGTTCTGGACATGCAGGAAAGATATTTGCATAATCTGTCAGACGAGAGGTTTTTCCAGTAGCGTCATCGTTTACTTTGTTTTTTCTTAATATGATATACATAAATGACAATGGTATTATACACACATGAATCAGCACCGTATTATCATGCCCAAAGAATGATAAAGAACAGGAAGTGTTTCAGTCCTCACTCATGGTCACTGTATGACAAGGTGCTTCACTTGTGTGTCTTCTGTACTTTTCTTCGAGGTTGCAAGTGGTAGATACTGCTTCCAAAGGTTTGTAGTAACATGCATGCAAAGTTTTGATTTTATTGTTCTTCAGAAATAACCCAAAGTATGTAAATCATTAAATTATAGTGCAAGGTTACAAATTTCGATCTTTATCATCACTGACGAGCCCTGGAAGGACGAAGCAGATGTGTGATGTAACATCACTGACGAGACCTGGAAGGACGAAACAGGCGTATGATGCAGGCTACTTAATTGTTTGGCACTACTACACGTGTATTGAATTCTTATTTTCATTAGAAGGTGTCATTCACTTGTGTGTGTTTTCTACAATTTATCCATTATATCATCCTTTTTTTGGGTAATACAAGAGACATATGATATAATGGACTATTATAACAATACAATAGAACTGAAATCCATTGATAAAGCTAGCAGTGTCTAGTGGTCTGATCCAGCCCATTGAGTACACCAGCCACTGAAATCAAATTTGTAACTCCATTTTAATGTTTTGAGTGAAAGTAATCAGTGTTCATGACGTTAAAAACGCGACGTCTTAATGAAAAATGCAGAATGTTGTCACATCCTTGCAGGTCCCCGATTGAGAAAAGAATATGCATGCTGGTACATCGTACACGTTGTCAGCGACAGCTAATTTTACAACACCTGCAAAAGCAGGGATTTGCTTTATTTTCATTCGGTTAGAGATAAGGAGGGAACCAAAATAAATTCCCAGACCCTGATTTCAATATAACTTTTCTTTCTAAGGTTCATATGCGTTTTTCCCTAGTTTCACATATGACAAAATAACACGTCTAACTATTGTTCTGATCGTTTGCCTAAACCTGTTTAGTGATCGAGCTAAACTGATGTCTATTGGTAACGCTTTGACTGTTATCTGTCACCTGATCACCTTTATATGGGTGGTGGTGATTTCTTACCTGTAGCATCTGCAGTTAACGAAGACATATACAGTAATTCGACTTCAGTTCGTATACTTATTATGTACTTGAATATGATTTGAAATTATTTTAGGACTTGTGGTTCATAAGACACGACAGTAAATCGTGACAAATAGATGCCGATTTTGAATTACTTATTCAAAATATTTTTGTATTTCCTTTGGTTCTGATGTATTCTATATATATATATATTGTATTTTCTTATCAACTTCGGCTCCACATTTCTCCTAGTGCAGAATTTTTTTTATGCAGCTGTATTAATGTTTGAAGTTTAGTTTTAAATACATATGCAACACTCATTTTACCTAGTAGGAGAGTCGTATACACAGAAGATAGAGACAAATACCTTATATTACACAGAGATACAACCTACGGGCTGGGTGTTGTATACTTTATCTGAACTTAAGTACAAAAGAGTTACCAACACTACCTGACCACACACAACGGTTACCTATCCCCAGCTGTTCATAGACTGGACAGCTTGATGAGTTTCACCAAAGCTTACATATAGAAAACATATGTAATCAGAGTCTTTAAAATGTTAAAAATAACATTTATATCTATTTCAGGCAGTTTTCATTAGAAATTTCCATAATTATCATTTTGAATATATAAATTGACCATACTTTTAATGAGCGGGGTCTGATTTTTTTTAGCCTAAAATGAATTATCGGGAAATGTTTGATAACACTTTCCTGTTTTTTGAAATGTAAAATGCAATTACAAACATCTTTCAAATGTAACACTGGAATGCTTTTAAACATACACTTAGGGCGACATTTAATTATCGCTGATTTGTAGGTCAAAAACACTATCAACGTTAATGTTCAAATGCAATTTATAAGCTATAATATCTATCTTAGTTGTCTTTGCTACGCTGATCTCTGCTTGTCACTTTATTAACCTTACCTGTCATAGGTTATCTCTGGGCTTTACTTAACTGACTTTTTATGTTCTAATTTATTGAGTTCCCTCAGGGATAATCACCTGTTGGTATTCAAGGAGAATGTAAAGTTTCAGTCACGTGACAATTTCCTTCACTCATTTTAGGCAATCGCGGCATGTTTATGGAAATTTTAATTTTTTTGTTGAAATTATTTAAATATCGGTTACTTGTTTCTGTGTCACGATTATAATATTAGATTCAGAAAAAAACTGATGATTGATTGCGTCGCATAATTCTAAATAAAAAAAAAAGACAAACATTACACGGAAAGGCAATATCATGTCTGGTGAAATTAGGACAAAATAAAAAAAAAGTAAACAAAGCAAATAAATTGATATTGAATTACAAGTGATGACAACAGTGACGAAAATTATTATCTATTCACTGTGGGTGGGTTTTTATGTTTGTTATTTTGTTTTTGTTTTGTTTTTAATAGACCTTTCTGTAGCTTTTCTTGAAGACTTCCATTCGTGTTTAAATTTCAAGACGCGATATCATAGAAAGGGTATACATTTTTGTTTGGGTTATATATTAACTTTTAAGTAGTATATTATTATTGCACACAGTAGTGCGATATTAGCCAGTTTCGGCGATGTGTCTTTATGTGTTAGTGAGAATTTGTTAGATATAAATCTATCATTTTCTATACTTTTGCATGGTTGATATCAGATGTATATTTATGGTATGGAGACTGGTTTACATTGATTTCATAGTTATATGTCAGTCGTAACAGCTGTCAACACTCCTATGTTAAAACAACTATTACGTCTAAATAGACTTTTATTATATCTAGGCTAACCAACTGAATGACAAAAATGACAAATTCTGTCGTGTTAATACGAACACGTTGCGTGCTTAAATTGAATATTTTAAGTCAACATATCATTTTCATCATGGTTATTGATAGCTCAAACTGGGCCAATTTCAGTCTTTGTTCTTTTGGAATAACGATGAAAACCAGTAGTAGTCAAGCAAGGGTTTGTATTTTGGTATATTTTAAAATAAATCAATAGATATGTAAGTGTTTAGAAGTAGAATATTTATAATATCATATACTGACCCACCCTTGCCAGTTTACCCTACGGGTAGATATAAATATGACTGACCTGAATATGCTGGTTGACGAATATATTACGGCATGAAGCTAGACCAGTTTTGGTTTTTACCGACAGGGGACGACATTTTGACAGCATATATATATATAAATATTTCAATGTTTTTGTTTTCTGTTTTTCTTTTGTAAATGAAATTGAATTTGAAAGGTTTTGGTGCGTTCAGTGCGTTCGCTTCTTCAAACGTTGATGATGGCACAATAAGACATGCTCAGAAACATGAAATATTATTTTTAATACATCCTTCTCGAATTTCCAATGTTGTCGGCTTTGTCTAATAGGTTGATACCAATATTCTGTTACAAATTCTGTGCAGGAACAACAAAGAAATGATATTCATGACCAAATGTAGATACACCAGACAATAAGAAATGTGAATAAACCCTGTTATCTTTTTATGATTCTTGGGAATCGTGATTAGCTGTTGAATGGCAAAATGATGAGTTTGAACCAAGAATAATGGCCAGAAAGATATTGGAGATTGTAACGAAGGGATTTTAATATAATTGTCTTTTCGAATGTCTGTCGTAATTTGGCATGACGTTTTCAGGCACATTATTGTCTGTTGAAGATTTGCAGATGCCTCATGTTAAAGGGTTTCGAGATAGCGTGTTTCTAACTATCCCTTCAGGCTGGAACGTTGTGAATAATAAAACACAATACCTATCTTTGGATTTAATCAGACAGTATCCCTAGGGCTGACCGTATCAGTTTTTTCATGACGTCACAATTGTGTACAATATATGAAGAATTTATTGGTATAGCCATAATGCCAGTTTCTATAGTTGACAGAGAACCGCCATTAAAGTAATGCATCGATGCATTTTTGTCTCAAAGAGAAAATTTTGACCTGATTTTATATAAATGAGTCATATATATTGTCTGTATTGTTCATCTGGGGGTAACATGTCTAGAATTGGATTTTAGCATTAATGCCCAAATTGTTTGCAAATAATGGGGTTTCTCATTCATAGATATGTGTATCTATATTCCCACGGTATAAATTTTAAACCACAACTATCTCGTGTGTACAGTAATTGTGTAGGGCGTTTGTGTGATTCAGCATCGTTTGTGTTGCGCTCTGTTGGTTCAAGTGAAAAACAAATACAGTGAATTGCATGTTTCATATAATGTGCTTAGCGAAAGCCACAAACTTGAAATACTTGTTGTATGATTGTAAGTATGATCCCTCAACCGCTACTTGAGTCTTAGTAATACGAAATTATTAAAAAAAAAATCGCATGTGGAGCTTCCATGCATATATTCGCAATTATTGTAAACAACACGGAGATTCTGAAGGGACCCAATTACACTCGGAGACCTCTACTAGTTCACACATCGGTAATGCATACTCACTACAAACAACACTTTAAGATGTTTAACTGAATCGACAATTGACCGGTCGAATGTGTCAGTCTGTTTATCACGCGAGGGAGATTTAATATCGAATTGTGACTTAAAATGCCACTATATCGCGGGTGCAGATGTTAGCTTACGGGTTAAGAGTACGCTGGATTGCTTTAGTCTATGTGCCAATATAAAATTTTACAGCACAGTCGAGGGAGGAAAAGATAAATTGATTTAACGTGTACCCTAGATTCTCATCGTACATTGTGCTTTAATAAGCTTTTCTTGAGATACCAAACTTACCAGGTAAAACTTTTATTGAATTTGTCCTAATTTCAAGAATCTCCATGTAAGTCTTTCTATTGAAATTAAGCTTTGATTGTAAGTGTGTTGACATGTTGATATTTTCTTTGTTGTTCAATCCTGTATGACGTTTGTTGTTTACTAGGTTCATCCTTGTTGGAATATAACTTATTGTAAGGTGATATTGTGATATTACTGCATACTTTTTGTGCTTCGCCTCTGTAAACCGCACAAGGTCGCTGGTTCAGGATGACTGGTGGGTGTTCACGTACACAATATCACTGAATCTGTGTATTGATTAACCAGTTACGAGTGGGTGACTTTTAACTTGCTGTTTTTACCAATGAAGACTGTTTCTCAATAGGTTGTGATTGGTGAAGTATAATAGAACACTTTCGGCTCCTATCGTCAGGCAATCATTTTCTTATTGTTATTTTCTGCGCTTTATTGCAAACTCAATTGGAGGTGGATTGGGCATTGCTGATATATACATACGCATCAGCCAGGTAGACTGCACGTTAGCACGTATATATAGCGTGTATCGATTTGTTGATATTTACTTATTTATGTGGCGAAGTGTCCCCCCAGGCTCAGCCTATCGTCAATAGAGTGTGGCCAGGCGTAACGCTACAGATGACCGACTTTGCGACAACTCGTCCCCATCAATCACTCCTCTGTCCATCGCTCCTCATCACACCTACCTTTCACGTTAACGCGAAAAGGTCACACGACAGCTTGTGATGGGAGTGCTGAAGATTTCTGTTCTACCGAAATGATCGTTTTTAGGACTGAGTGTAGCAGTATATTTATTTAACATTTATCCTTTGGATTGGCGAGTCTGTAAATGTTTAAAATCTTGTTTCCTATACAGAATGACCAGCCGTGAGGACTGTAATACGGATTAATTAATAAGAGATAGTGGATTCTAGACAACAGGAACACTGACATCACCATCAGACAGGTAGGTACCGCCATAGATAAACATCTTCCAGTGTAAGATAATTAACATAATTTATTCCGTTTTTTTCCAGAGTTCGTGTAAACAGTAATTCTGACTGTCTGAAAATTTTAAGATGGCAATTTTGAAATGCGTAACTCGATTCGTATATATTTGACAGCAACAAAATATGACGGAAAATAAGGAAAAGAAATGGCTAAAATAGAACTTCAAATATTGGTTTTATCAGGTAAACCTGAGTACCAGCTATTGACCTTACAACATTTAGAAATCCATCCGGCTAGGCATTGATAAGCACTTTGGGTAGAGATACACCTGTTCTCACGGATACACAAGGTTCCTCTCATTAAATGTATAATTATTCACGTCCTTACAGTCTAGCTTCCTCCTTATATACAACAATTATAACATGACCTGTAGCACGCTATTACATCACCTCTGGGACCATTGGTTATTCCTTGAAGACCGAAGTAATTAGTACACTATGTAACAATATCACCATCATACTGTTCTGGCAGTAGCTATACAGTCATATAACAAGGTGTCTAGAAACTAGTCGTAATTGATATTGTAGAAAGTGAATTTTTTCATTAATCTACATGTAGAGTAATGTATGGCCTTTACCTAGGTAAGTTAATTCGACATTTGTTACTAACTACAACTCATAAACATGAACAATTACCATATTGTTACATTTTTAATTATGGTTTAGAGATTTGACTTACTTAGGTCACACAAACCCTAGCCCACGCACTGTGGTTGTGCATTCGTTAATACACACATGTGATAATTTGTTTTATGACTGCACATATTGTACACGCTATTCAGCTTTTCTCACGTTAAGCATTACTCATGGATTTCTATTACAGGACATAACTGTGAAGTAGGACGATCCCACATTATGGGGAACGGTAAGTATATACACATCTACAATTATTTACCTCGTATGATATTAATTATTTAACAGTCTTCATTATGATTCAGAAGACAGAGATAGAATGACAAGACAAAAGATCCTTTTACATATATTCCTTTTGGTTCTTAAGGGTGATAATTTAGTTGGAAGATTTTTTTTTTGTTCTGTTTACACGAAGGTAGAGATCGTTCATGAAAAGCTGGTTTCAGAACTGAAGATCAAGGTCGCCATGACGAAAGATATTACGTCTCTAAATTTTTTTAGTGGTTCACAGGTAACATATGTAGGAGTACGAATTTTGTGGTATGACGTAAGCAGAAAGCTTGACTTTTATAAAGATACGATATTTGAGGTGTTTGTGACCTTGTAGTGGGTGTGACCTTTGTGTTTGATTTGACCTTTTTAATGAACTTTGCGTTTGGTTCGACATTTGTATTTGATATTATAATTGTCGAGGTTTAACATGTGATGATATGATCTCGGTAATGGATATGGTTTTTGTAGTGGATATGATCTTTGTAGTGGATGTGAGTTTTGTAGAGGATGTGAGTTTTGAAGCGGATATGAGATTTGTAGTGGATGTGAGGTTTGTAGAGGATGTGAGTTTTGAAGCGGATGTGAGTTTTGAAGTGGATGTGAGTTTTGTAGTGGATGTGAGTTTTGTAGTGGTTGTAGTGGATGTGAGTTTTGAAGTGGATGTGAGTTTTGTAGTGGATATGAGTTTTGAAGTGGATGTGAGTTTTGTAGTGGATATGAGTTTTGTAGCGGATGTGAGATTTGTGGTGGATATGAGTTTTGTAGTGGATGTGATCTTAGTGGTGGATATGGAATTTTTAGTGGATATGGTTTATGTAGTGGATGGGATCTTAGTGATGGATGGGATCTTTGTATTGGAATTTTGTAATGGATGGGATCTTTTTGGTAGGCATTACCTTTGTAGTGGTATGAACTTTGTAGAAGATATGACCTACATGTATATTGCGGATATGAACGTATGGAGTCTAACAGAGTGTTGCACATGTTTCGTATTGCACGATGTACATGATCTTAACAGACTTTCAAAACCTCAAAAATATTTATTCTCTTCATTGTTCAGGGAATTCTCTCTTAAATCTTCATATCTTTATTTAAATGACAAGAAAATGCACGGTTAACACATTGCGACAAGACAATAACGCTTATTTACTATTTCCTTCCTGATAAACATTACTGTTATGTTGAATTCTTTGTTTATATACACTTAAAACTAACTGCATGTCTTGATATTCGTTTACAAAAAAAAGTCATTGAATCTCGTTACATGTCGAGTCGTGATTTATATACAGTGAGACTTCGTAATATCCGAAAGGCTTTGTGCACATAAACTCTAATTGATAGGTACCAACCAAATCTCAGTATATGTCCTCATTTTGATATTGTTGCACATCATGATATTATCTTGAAAACGCTTCTCACCATGCCATTCCTTGTTATCGCGTTGTGGTATAGACTACGAGGATCGTACAAGACACATAATTCAATAGTATTTTTCAATATAAATTTAGCGTTAGATATCTTAATGCCAACAGATGAATTGGAGAGTACATCATACGCCGAAAGTTCCAACTGTCGACGTTAGCGCGGAGTGATACTCTTTCACCTTTAAATTTGCAGTTGTTGGATACACTTTATACATGTATACGATATCAAAACATCTTCTATAGCTTTCAACAAGTCATAAACTAGTGTTTTACAATCGATATATATATATATGTATTTATATTGGACAGATTGAATTCCCTGTCTAATTCAATTGGGAATAAAATATTGACGTTTGTTTTGTCACGAGACGATCTCTTTGTAGATAGTGATAAGGTACAGTCTGTGTCTACTTTATATACCCCAGTCTTGTATTGGCTTGTATTTGTTTTCGACCACTACTGCAGTATACAGACCTCGATATCTGATCATAGGACGAACGTACCAGACCGTTTGTGGTACTGGCCATTAGAGACTTCAATGAAGGTTTATATCCATGCCAGTAATTCTATTAGACATCCTTTGATTCCGTTGGCCGTTGGCAAGTTTTCTCGCGACGGTCCGATGCAACACGCACATTAACACATACATTAAACTATTAAACTGACTCACTAGTATAAATAACTTGTCAATTAAGACATAGAGAACACTGGAGAGTTTGTCTCTGTCCCCACAATTCTTCTAGCTCCTATAGTCTCCGACACGGTCTGTAGGTAGCTCCTTTAAGGCTTGGGGCTACGATGGTAAGTAAGTACTTATAACACCTCTGGAGAGCATGTATGTATATACATATGTGTGTCCAAATATTTTCAACCTTAACCGGACAATTGCAAGCTTTACTATCCCAAAGACAACTGAATGTGAAGTTTCCAATTAAACATTGCCGAAAATCTGTCAACTCTATCAAAACTGTCCTATGATTAGGAATGTAAATTAAGTAATTACAAGCGGATATAACTGCAAATTAAGTAAAAATTATTTTTGAAAGGGATATTATCTTTTTAAAGTATTATTTGTCTATTCTGTTAAGCTAACAAATCTTATAATGTTTCAGCTGTGGTGTTGATCACCCTGTGTTTATCACAGTTTCGAGTCATTAAACATAAATATACAAATATCCGATAAAATGACGGATTTGTTTATTCAAGTCATCGATAGCAGGATCAGACATAGACCAGAAATTATCACAACCTAGATTCTAACGGCCCTTAGAGGGAAATAGTGTATATGGTTGTAGAATAGATCCGTTCATGGACAATATTGAAGATTCTGTCCCTCTTCAGTCTTCCATATTTGAAAGCATATACCAACATATAAATATAATCATAATCCAAACTCAAATTCAATTGAATTAGGACAAAATATGAACGAAAGAAAGACTGACATAATGACTCTTGGAAAAATTAAAACAGTGTGTACAATAGCTAACAGGTAAACTAACGAGCATCAAACATGTCCAGCTTCAAATCGCACTATGACGACCGCAAAACTTCCCGAAAATTTTCACCATCCTGCATCTCTTGAAACCCTAAGTTATGAGCTCGGCTATCAGTTGAACACCTCTTGTATGGACATCTTGATATTTTGAACAAGTTCTTGAATATTGAATTGAGTTACACGATTAGTATGAGTCAATATGTTTAAACAAGGTTCAAAATACCATCACAATTACTATCGGCATGTCATTCCTCCACTGAAGCATTAGCATCACTCCGCTGTGTGCTACCATCGCTCATGTTGATGAACTGTTTCATATAATTCTGGGTTGCTCCGCTTTCTAATCAGTAAAACTGTTCACAATTTGAGCCCATGAACCGTGAAGAGCAATAGATTTAACGTGTGATATCATCTTGATAAGTAAATCAAATGTCCTTTCACCAATTGTTTCACAACTTGAACATGTCCATTGACAGGCACAGAATCCCAAATTAATAAAAACTACTTCGAACGAATCCGTGACTGTTGTGACGTAATGATCTAAACCTGAAATATATGAGCCGTATTTTGTTTACTGTCATTAATTCCGTACCTATTATTCAAGAACCCTCCAAGCGATCGTCGACGAAGACAGGGAATCATGATTCATATTCTAGCAACGGCCATCATGGAGACAGATTATCACATGACGAATCAACAGAACTCTCCGGTATCCATGGTGTCAATGAAAATTTAGGAAAGATAGGTATGAATTGTTTTTAGTCTAAATTGCATCCTTTACATATTACGTACTTGATTTGATGATAAGTAGAAGTTACAAACAATATCTTGACTGTGAGAAATTTTGCATTCTTGTTCAAAAGTATGATAAAAGAGTTTCATTTTCTAAACGATATTTTCAACAGAAACCAATCAAAATTTTCCCCGCTGTTAAGATGTTTAATGGATTCCCATTTGGATAATGGTGGTAAAGAGAGTCTCTTTAAAACGTTATCACAAGATCAGCAATTTGCGTCGTTGGAAGTATATCAATAACTGTATTACATTCCATTATTGTACTTCAGTGTTTTATGTCAGATTATGTATGCATAGACCGCGGTCAGGTGAGCATAAACGTAACGCCATCCTTTTTGTTCTGTAGATATTCTACAATCAGACACCGAACAAAGACCTGCTGCTGTTAAAACGTTATTAGAAGTAGCCAATGGACTACACGTGACGGACAATGTCAGTAGTATCACTGCTAACGAAGGTGTGGATAAAATGGTACTAAATCTACAGGATAATGAAGTGTCTAGTACTGCACTAAAAGAGGTTAAAGAATCGTTGACAAATAGTCAAACAGACACAAATACGAACCCTTGTGGGGATGTAGTCGAGGAAACAGATACACCGCCATCAACTCCGCGGAAAGAAACATCAACAACGCCAGGGAAGGACGACAGTGGTGTTGAGAGTTCTAGTGACATCGTACAAGTCAGTAGATCTGATGGCGGATCAAAAGATTCCGGCACTAAATCAAAGGCGAATAAAAAATCGAAGAAATCTGAAGATAAAAGGAAAGCAAATAAATCAACAGAACATGATTTTGACGAGTCAATCGAAGTTGAAGTGATATCTGTAAAAAAGGACAAGAAAAAGAAACCTAAGAAAAAGATTTCCAAACAAAATAGTACAGTGAGTGATGTCGGCATGACGTCAACCGTGTCGATGTCGTCGGGTCTCAACGTGAGTAGTATCAGCTCCGACACTGGACGTGGGACTCTCGAGCGTTCTGTCAGCTCCGTGGAACCAGGTTTTGGCGTCGTGAATTCCATCGACAACAAGACATCTCGGCGACCTCTCAGTAAGTCTTTGAGTGACAATGAGCAACAAAAGGAGAAGAAGAAGAAAAAGAAAATGGACAAGAAAAAATCGAATCTAGTTACACCTATGCCAGTGCCTGTAGAGAACACCAATAAAGAAAAACGAAGAAGTAAGTATGACACTAATGGCATTTAACATTTCTCATATCATAATACCAGTAAAACAAATATCAGATATCGAAAAAGAAAAATACAAATTTATTTAATTTTTGAGTAAGTATAACTCCCCGTCAAAATTTGACATTTCTTTTCTGTATTTTGTTTTTACTCAATCACCTAAATCACCTCTTAAATTTCAAAATTTCGGCCTTTAGCATCACTGACGAGTCCTTGAAGAAAGAAAACACCTGTTTGGTGCAGTAAAAATTCATATGATGCATTAAATGGTGCTTTTCACTTTTGTGTTTTGTGTGTACATTTTTTACCTACAAAAAAACGATACACACTTTATAGTACTACCTTATACAAAATGTCAGCTTAGTCACGTTTTATCTTATACAAAATGTCAAATTTGTTACGTTTTATCTTATACAAAATGTCAGCTAGTTACGTTTTATCTTATACAAAATGTCAACTAGTTACGTTTTATCTTATACAAAATGTCAGCTTTGTTACGTTTTATCTTATACAAAATGTCAGCTTTGTTACGTTTTATCTTATACAAAATGTCAGCTTTGTTACGTTTTATCTTATACAAAATGTCAGCTTAGTCACGTTTTATCTTATACAAAATGTCAGCTAGTTACGTTTTATCTTATACCAAATGTCAGCTTAGTTACGTTTTATCTTATACAAAATGTCAGCTAGTTACGTTTTATCTTATACAAAATGTCAACTAGTTACGTTTTATCTTATACCAAATGTCAGGTTAGTTACGTTTTATCTTTTACGACATGTCAGCTTAGTTACGTTTTATCTTAAACAAACTGTCAGCTTAATTAGATTCTATCTTGAACAAACTGTAGCAATATGCACTTTAATACATTTGTAGAGGTGGTAACGTACTATTTCATATGAATTTATATACAAGACATTTTATGTAATGCTAGAGTGACAGATAATACAATTTTTTAAAGTCAGTTACGTATACGATATATTAAAAGATGTCTCATGAATTAGATACAGTCTTTAACTTATTGAAATGATTACATTCATATTAAAAACGTGTATCTGTACGAGCCTCATTCAAATTACGTTTTATCGTTGAATAAACAAACCGTAGTGTTGCACTATTGGTGTGCAATTTAAAGTTTCAAGAACTGAAAAAAAAAATTATATGATTTGTCTCGTAGAAGGATTCAAATAGATGAAGATGAAACTACCAATTTGTAAACACAGCTAAAACAACTGTTGTATAAATGATAGATTATACACGCGCCATCACCATAATACACCAGCTTAAAACAGAAATACATAAATCTAAAAATCTCAAATTTCACCTTAGTCAGCCTTTTTATGTGACTCAAGGCATGTAACACTTGCAAAATTATATAAAACCTTATCTAAAGATTAAAAACACATTTTAGATTACATGTAATAACATTTTAGATTTACGAAAATGATAGTTGTGTACGAGAGGGAGACAACTCTTATTTACTTGTAGCTTTTTGGTTGTAAACATGTCAGTTAAGCTATTTTCCGCAGCATTTAAATCGTCAAAATGTCACTAGGAATCATAATATAAACAATGCCTAGTCGAACATTACCATTCGGCGAAGGTCACTAGGAAGACGAGAGCATATGTATAGTGAGTTTACAGATCAGATCAACCAGATCAGATCAATCGGATCAATATTCGGTTTCCAAAGTCTCATTAATGAAAAAATAGGAGATTTGTTCAGTTTGATTGAAACACGTTTTACTGGCACAAGGTATCGCAGTAACTATATTCAGGTTGTACACGTACCATATGTAGCTCCGTGTTTTGAGCCTCTTTCAACCTGAAAACATAAACGATCATGGTAAATATTCTACAGGCTTTGAATACTGTAGAATAATTTTGCCTTCTTTCTGTATTACATCATTGTGCAAGTTGTTTTAAATCAATGCACTTGCGAATTCAGCAAAACAATACTACAAAACTATCACTTCTGTAGATAGTTATATGGCACAGTCTATACCTAATTTATATACCCGAGTCTTGTGTTGGCTTGTATTTGTTTTCGACTACTATTGTAGTAAACATACCATTATGCTGCTTTTTAAAATGATGAACACGCTCTTGATCTGATTTATAGAAGGCTGTATCCTATGTATTTATATCAACAGAATGCTGTATCCTATGTATTTTCATCAACAGAAGGTTGTACTCAATGTGTTCTTATTTATAGAAGGCGATACCCAAGTTGTTCCTATCAACAGAAGCTGTACCCAGTGTGATCTTATTTATAGAAGGCTGTTTCCATTGTGTTTTTATTAACAGAAGGCTGTACCCAATGTGATCTTATTTATAGAAGACTGTACCCAATAACATTACTTCAAGATACTCCTGTTAAGCAGTCTATCAAATTTTATAAAGTCCGTTCCAAGGTAGCGCTTTTGTGTTTTGAATTTTGCGTCAGCTACCACTAGATGTATTTCTTTGTGTCAGCAAGTATTTGATGAACTGGGACGCACCGCTTTATATAAGGTATAAGATACCAGTACGGTACGTCAAGCAGGATTGTTATATCCGAGTAGAGCATTCTATGTGTTACAAAAGAGGTGTGAATTATATCTCTGATAAGTTTGCAACTTTAAACGATCTTTAAAGCCCTATCTTTCTTGGATGTACAATTGAGTGTATATTTAGACATGTCTTTCAAGAAATACATGATAAATTGGCGCATGTGTCGACATTTCATAAATAATCAAGTCTTCGGTAAGGCAATATACATGACTTACCAACTGTGGTTCATCCATAGTAAAACTTCAAAATCATTACATATTATCTATTGGACAAATGGTAGGTAACTAAAGTTTTGAATATATATACGAAATGTGTATATATACACAAAATGCAAAACAAATGTGACTAGGTTATTCGAGCTTCTCCAGAACCCATGTTAAAGAATAAATGACGTAAATAATACAGATTTTGACCTGAGGTAAAGAACTGATATGTGTTCATTTGTAAATTAACAATCTGAAAAATCTTAATGAATATTGTATACCTGTCCGTCAATAATCATATATAGAACAGAAAAACACTGAGACTTTCTATATCTTGGGCCATAGTAGAAGCTGCTACTTTAATTGAATGTCTGTTCAATTTAGCCATGTTGATGTTTCAGGTATTTTTGAGGAAGATTTTACCATTGAACTTGGCCTTGCAGAGGAAAATTTAGATGTTGTCTCTCTTTCATCTCTGTCTTCCGGTGAGTCTTTGTGCTCTCCACCTCCAGTACAGACGGCGGCTTGATCGCCCATGGATACGGGATATTGTTGATGGTGCTGGCTTTTGTTGTTGACTAATCCTTCCTGCCTGGCATGTTGCCGTGGACATGACGTATCGTCTGTTGCTTTAGAAAACACGTGTGAGCAATGGTACTCACGTGTCTATTGTCGGGCGAACATCTGAAGAGTTGTTCTGGGAGAAAACGGTTGTAGCTATATGTTGACTAACCCTTGTGTTGTGAAGTGTCGTCATCCTCACCGGGATACAAGTTATATCCGCCATTTTGTGGTTATGGACTAATTCTTTGCACATCAGTCACCAGTCCACGGACACAGTGAACATACTGATGTACAATACTAACAAATGTGCACAAATATTGTGAAAATGTGTCAATGTATGTTACAATTCGCACTTGTTAAAAATGATTCAAAAGTCCATACAACTGTATTGTTTATGCTTTAGAGTGAAGGAAATGCAACTGCATGTCTTTTATTATATGTATAGTAAATGTATTGAAACGTGTCTTGCCATAAGTGTTAACTGCCATAAGATGACACTTGTTTTTGTCACAAATTTTGATTAAGAATTTGTTCAAATACATAATTTTATTGAAAGGATCCATCTAAATAGCTAGTGAATGGTCCTTGTTATTAAACGTTATGCTTAATATTTGGTAAAGTTCTCTCAATGGAATTTTGTATCAATAGTATTTTGTTTTATCCACATATTTATGATTTAAACTTGGTTATAATTAATAATTTATTGAATGTTACATTATGTGTAGATAGAGTGGAAATAAAATTCAACATCCAAGATGTCTCCGATTCAAGTTGATACGTACTAGATAATCTTCTTGTGAAATGTAAACCCATAGTCGTGCACCCGCTAACCTCCATTTCGTGAACTACATTCTTTTCATTCTCACAAAGAAATGTGTTAAACAACTTCGAGCTACGAAGGTTGAATATTATATCCATTGAAGATCTGAAAAGTGTGACAAACAAAAGAAATGTAATAATGAATTTTATTCAGCAGAAGATTTCTACCGGCTACTTAACTTCGAATTTCCCCTCGTCAAACATTATCGCTTTTGTGACAAAATTGACAAGCTTTGTTCCGATTACGTTTATATCTTGTCAGAGTGTCAGTATTACTATATTTAATTTGTACTTCAATACACATAGGAAATCAGGTATTCTTTTACTAATTCTAAAAAACATATATATCAACAGGTAGAAGGTAAATTAATACGAGGCAGCATACAATGTACATGCCGGGGATTATACTACCATAATGAAGAAGAAAAAATGCTCTCGTATCATAAGTTAGTTAATCTGTGGAACAGATTATGAGTGTCCAATCAGAAAAAAGGAGATATAGCATTATCTAGAGTATCATGTTTTAGAAATATTTTAATTCGTGAAGCATCTTATGTAACAGTTGATGGAAAGGTTGAGTGCGAAAATGGTCACAACAAGCGGAAGCAAGGGATGTCAGATCAACAGAATGACTACGAGGATTCATCATCTCGGAGAGTGTCGGAGTACAACGTGACTTTACGAGATTCGTCGACAGAAGAATGTGAGAAAGATGACAGTGTATGTAATGAAGTCATGTATGAAAGGAAAATCACTGTCATCACTCATGAACCGGTTTCTTCAGAAACGAACCTAATCGAGACAAAGGAAGAAAACAATAACCTAGAGGCTGAAACGAAACCAGAAAAGGAAATCACTGAAATCGACCTAAACACAGACGCTTTACATCAAATCAGCATCAATTATAACAGTGAGAATGAGGAAGGTGACGAAACAGTCAGTGATAGTTTTGACAATTATTCGTTAGTTGATCAGATCGTTGCACAGGTATCACGAGAATATGACTGCAACCCACATGAAATACTCACAAAAAGAAACAGAAATGGCTTACGCCGCATCGGCCATTCTCAGTCCATGTCTCCTACAGATGGTGGAAAGCTACATCGTCCTGTACGGCGACAGTGCTCAGAAGACGTCACAAGAACCAGACTCTCCAATCCCTGCCGAGAATATGGATCTGAAAGTGATTTTCACGACCAGCCCCGACGTGTGATACTAACTAGACCACTGTCTTTTGACCGCCCGTCATCTTCATCCCCGTCTTCCACATCGATACCATCTAAAAAGAGGCAGAATTCATTTTCTGAAATGTTCAAAAAATCTACAACTGCATTAACTCATCACAGAAGAAAATCAGAAAACAAAGGTAAATTTATTGACATACCACAGGTGTATATATGCATTAATTTAACGCGTGGCAGTAAACGGCCATATTGTTACGCAACAATGACTTAGTTTTAATGCAAGCCAAATACAAGTATTTCATAATACTACTCAATTATATCTATAATATTTCAAACAGACAAATGTAAGTAGAGAATGGCAAAGACATATGTTTGAGTCTAAAGAACAGCAGATAAATACTGACTATTCGATGACAAATTTCAAATTAAATTGTAAATGAGGAGTAAGAAACGTGTGTATGATACGATGAATTGCTAATTCGCCAAAGGTGTTTTATAAACAACAGGTTGTAGATTTGTTATATAGGGGATAGGTTAATTAGATTTTATCTTCGTTGCTACGACGGAGCATGAAACAAATTGTTCCATTTAAACCTACTGGTAATGAATATTCTGACATTTGAAAAAAAATGTTTGTGCAAGTTCCTTAACACTGGCCATGACTGGAGCAAAGTGTAAATATAAATACTTGATGTCAGTATACGACGCCAGAACGTAAGAAATATGACCTTCTTGAAACCGGTCAAACGATTTTAAGCTTTGACCTGTAAGAAGTCCTCACAATTCGTGAGATGTGTAAGATCACATGAAATCTCATACAAAATTCCGTGATATGCTTAATTAGATTTCGACGATGGACATTTATTATTGGTAAAACATTTCAGTTGTTCCGCCGTGATCTCACCTTTCCAATACGCGTCTTTTGTACGGAAACGTTTAAATGTCCCGTCTATTGGCTTGATTTATTGATATCAGATTTTGTCGGAATACACACATTGAACGGATGTGTGGACGGGTAGTCGCTAAAATCGGATAAAAGAAATCGTGATTAGTAAGCAGTGGTTTATATATACAGCTTAATATATTTATGTCTTAAAGGGGCATCCCATAGCTAAAACTATTTTTGTTTATAACTCAAAATGGGGCATCCCGTCGCTGAAACTATTTTAGTTTATAAAAATAAAACTTAAAATTTTAATTTTAATAGTTATTAAATAAAAAATAATTTTAAATTCTCAATTTAGTACGAAGAATAAAATTTTCCTGAACATAGAGACAATATTTAAACATAATAGTGTGTTTTTCTGATCATTTTCATGCTAATATTATCACAGATAATCAACATGGTCCTCTTTTAGGTATAGATTTAGCGAAGGATATTTCTGTCGTTCATACGAAGGTGTGTCATTTCAAAGAATCATCAAACGTTTACATGGAAGGTATACTGAAATAGAAAGAAACACAAAGGACATTGTTGAAAAATACATTATATATTGCATTCGTAATTTTAAATACCTTTCGGTATCGCACGTGATAATTTCATGTATTGTATGTAAAACGATCTAACATAAAACAATATTGGTGCCAATCTGTACAACTCATTATGTCTTTGATTACTTTACACATGCCAATCAATTTGTATTCTTTTGTGTGTCACTGATGTTTTGAACTTTTTTTAGGTGAACCATTGAAAGAACAGAATGTCGGAAAAACCGGAGACGACCAGACAGCAACGATTGTTTATATGTAAAAATGGAAATATGCTTTGTTTATCACCTACGTCGTGAAAAAAAATGAACAAATTTATAACCTTTATGACATATTACTCTTCAGTTAACATTTGCAGTAACTATCAATGAACAGCATGAACATATTTCTTTCATACACCTATAAGTATCCCGGTATGAAGACTGTGCAGTGTAGATCATTTACATTCAATACATCCGGTAGACAGGAAGTCGATCTCCGCCATATTTGTCTGTTAACTTCAGGGTCGCTTATCTTCTTCTTGGTGGTTAATAAAGCGTTTTAATTATGTAAATGGCTGAAGGCCAATGAATGTTTACGTTGGGTGGCTCTTTTTATCGACAAAATTAATCTCAAACTAATTTCCTGTATTTCTATTTAGCTTGATGATTCTAAATACGAAATACAGTTTTTCTTATTGTTTTACGGATCGAGTCGTAAGTTTGGTGCTAGCTTATAAACTAAGTACGAGAGTGGAGAGCAGACTTAATCATATCTTTTTTTAATTATATTACAAATATAAGTGCAATGTAAATGGAATAGTGTATTTGGATTAAATTTCTGTAATAAATGAAGTTATTATTCTTTCAAGATAATTCTTTATATATATGTTTAAAACATTAACATAGAAAATAAAATCTGAAAATATAACTGCATTTAACCTACTTCAAATACAACATCGATCATTCTTTTGCTTTATTGATCATTGTAAACCCTAAGTATCAACAAAGTTAAAAAATTGTCCCGCTCAGAAGAGCTCTTTTAACATGACATGAATCCGGTCGAAGTGTTTTCATCTAAACATTAACAGAGGAATGCATTACATGCCAATGTCCTTAGATGTTATGTTATAAAGACATCGATCTTTAAAGTATCAACAGTTTACATTCATGAAATAGTACAATCGTTTATACATATATGTAACAACTAATTGGTCAACCAACCCTTCCTTTAATTACCGTCAGATATAGAACGTTGATAAAAGTGGAAACATTTATTCATGGCGCACTGAAAGCAAGCACAACAGTGGGCATGAAATACGAATTTAAGATAACAATGCTTGATAATTTAGGATTCTCATGGTTATGACGGCGCTATTTTTTCCCAATCCGCATCAATTTGTATGCACGATATTGATCACTTAGAAGGCCTATTTTCCTACAATGTTGTACTTTGTAAGGATAATGTTGTAAAAGTAAATTAACAAGACATAATTAGAAGTAATGAATGTCTAAATAATTGATATCAGCCCGGGATCCAGCCGCAGTAAAAAAATATTGTTTGTTGCCAATTACATATTTCCATAACCTCATTCCTGGAAATGTCACATTCTTTGATTAATCCATTTTTACGAGATATACGTATAGCAAGATATGTTTTCAAACCAATCACTTAGGCATATGATATTGATTGGTTCGATTCCCCCCCCTTCCCGTTTCAATGTTCAAGGTATTACTGATACATTTTTGGAGAACATTAGAACAACAGTTATCGATGGATACAGATTAACGTCTTGTGTCCAGAGCAGATATGAACATCAAAGAGTTTGTGATATTCCATAAATAATGTGACGCTTTTACATCTTATTGAATATGAATTATTAAAACAACACTGAGACTCTAGGTCACATAACTGGAAAACGTGAAATATTAAATACAAAATGACGTTCTGGACAGAAATAAATAATTGGAAAAAACTCGTTCCACTGACTCTGAATGATAAGGACAACTGGAAGAAAGGACCAATAATCGTGAATTAGCATCTAATGCAGAGAGGATAATTTACAACATATCAATGTAGATCCTATTGTATTAATGTAAACAACATAAAAAATAAAAAATCAATTAAGCCATCAAAAATTACCCTGATATATGTGTCTTAACGTTGGTCCCGGATAAAAGCAACGATGGATTTGATATTTGTTACATGAATGATACTGCAACAACATGAGAATTTATTATTTTTTGGACGTCTAAAATCGTGAAAATATACCGGTATAGTTAATGCCATATGGTCATGATAGTATTCATCGAAATGTAATTCTAAAATGAAACTCATTCAAGAAAAAAAACGGGTGGTTCGATTACAATAAGTTGTTTTACAAAGATATGTAATATTTACAAACACCTTTATAATACTTTTTCTGTAATATGAAACACAAAGAGTTCCTCCCAGTGTAAACAACAACAATGGCCAACCAGGAACTAATCAAACTACTGAATGGTTCGTCTCGGACCATGAACCACAAGATTACATTTTAATATTTTATGTAGAGGAATTGAATGTCTTTTAGTGTCAGGCAGATATGGCATTTATAATGTTTCCGTGAAGGATATGGTATGGAAATATGAACATAATAACGACATGCTCATAAGCTGAATCATATTCCCAATGATTATCTCTATTTGATATGTCAGCCTTGTCGGCTCTAACAAATACCTTTAGCAGTCGAAGAGAGACTCGATTTGTCAGTGTTATTTAGAGTTGGACTGATGGTAGTACAGTAAGAGATTTCAGACTGCATGAGTCAATTCTTTTAGAATACCTAATGATAATGATTGCTTTCGAGGCAGATTGAATCTGACAGGACTATTTGAATTAAATTTCTCCTGAAATAACGACTTCAAATATGTTAAAGGCAGGACATACAAATGGTAAACACATCGAGTATTTAAAAACTAAAGTATTACAATACAACAGTTTATAACAGACTTTCATCTTTCATTTTCACTCTCTCCTGAAAATACTATAAAAATTGGGGAAACGACTTGGACTTTCATATTAAATATTTTAGAGATAAACAATGTAGCACGCATATAACACACGACAGTTTATGAAATGTTTAGAATATAGCAAAACTCCGCAGGACAATGTGACAAAAAGATATTTCCACATGCGTGCAATGAAAAAGGAAAATATATCATACACTACACTTTTAACAGCATCACAATATTCTTAATTTCCCGAATACCCATCCCTGCATGTGGTCACTGTGACGGCTATTTTCAATGGCTTGTATCGACCTGACACGTTGCGAGAAATCAGGTATATCTTACTGCCAGACTGAAGTGTGATAATGGACAAACGAACATATTCCAAGACTGTTCGATACCGCAATGTTAAATCGTCAAGCTGGTTTTTATTATTAGCAATGGAGCTTACGTGTAATGCTATCGAAGCATCTCATCGGTCAATACCTGGAGTGGTCTCTAATTATTGAGACTATAAACTATGCATTGACCTAGAGCTACAAGACCACGACTCCAAGTGGTATTACAAGATTGACTGCTCAGTGGTGTTGGTCAAACCTCCAATGAGATCCCTTCTTAATAATCCGTTATACCAGTTGAGTGAACACATTTGTGATCGGCGTATTACACCCATCGATGAATAGTGTATTGCTTGCGTATAAAGCTCTGTGTGTTTACAGTCGGTATCCCAGGTGTGTGTTGGGACTTATAAAATACCAGGTGAGAGAGGATGGAACTCAGGTGACAACGGGACATACAAGGTAGCTAATAAGAAACACCATGGGGGCCCGGGCCAGTATCCCATTAGTGGTCCTCCCCAGGGACTTTGTGGTGATCGTGACAGGGGGTGACACAGGTGAGTCTGTTTACCTGCTAATGTATATACTGTTATATCCGACCACAGACTTATACATAACACTACACCAATGACTTTAATCGGTTTTACATGAAAGCAGTATTTACAGTTAGAGATGTCTAATACTGTCATTAAACGTTCTATAGATATTTCTCTTTTTTAAAGTTGAAGGGAAGAATATGTAACGTTAGAACTGAGATACCAGTTTACCACCTTCTTGACACGTCTAGTCAAGCTTGTGATTTTTTAATTGGTAGAACCCACCTACCCGTAAATATTTCAATACCTAAGTACGTGCTTCAACTTAAGGTGTTGTAGCAGACCTAACCCGCATGGTCTGTATACATAAATTGTTTCTTTTCATTTGTTTTTTGCTATAGTAAGGAAATAAATGTTTCTGTATAAGTATGCCATGCCATATAAACTAATGAATATGTAGGTCATGTTAATAATCATAGTAACATACTTGGGACATTTCTTTAATATAAAAGAACCCGTTATACTATAGAGTTCATGTTCTTAGCGTTCCTGATAACAATGAACGGTGTACACTACTCCCTATATCTGAGGAACAATATGTGCCCTCTTCAATTTTGACAAGTGTTATCACATTTCTTCCACTCAAATGGTTTATTTAAGTGACGTATATGACATTACGAAATTAATAAGACATGCATCTTAAATATAAGGTATAATAACGATACATATTTAACAACATTTTTTTATTCTAAATGGCACGAATCAGCACACAGATAGTATTACTATAATATAAATATCAATTACTATTTTGAAAGCTAAATCTTAATTGATTAATATCTATTTACTTCGCTGAAATTGAAAAACAAAGTTATAATTTAAATGCAGTAAATAAGCTTTACTTGTAAATATCAGTATAAGCAAGAGGAAAACAATATCACGCATCAACCGTCATATGAACCAAAGTCAAAGCGAGATAATAGCATATTCTCAAAGCAAGAGCCGGTACTCAAATTGCTCAGAAATACGGCAGAATACTTCTGTAATGTCTGAAGGACTCTTTTGATACTTCCGTCAATACAAATGTAATATACCTGAACTTTAAAAAGAAATATTAGGGAAAAAAATATTCAATTCATCCTTGTTAGTTTTTTTACTGTAACTGATTGCTTGATTAACAGACAATTTGATAGCAATTCGAATGATTGATAGAATTTTATATACCGATCTTTCGTATATCCTCCGTAAATTATCTAGTGATATTAGGTGAAAAGACAACAAATAATGACTAAACAATAGAAGAATACAGATTGGCCTTAGCGAACGACAAAGAAAGAGGAATTGAAAGTTTTAAATCGATCCGTTATATACATGTTAAGTATACTATGAAATAGGATGAAATATTCTGAACATCCAAACACCACTTTTGTATTGTAATATCCAATTTGATTTCATGATAAATTTGCATTAAAGTTGTCATTTTTCGTCAAAAACAAGATTTATGAGTAAAATTTAAAAAGAAAAAAAAGAAGGAAAAAAAACAACAACTTGGTTTTGATGAAAAATATCCTTCCCAAATTTGACAACTAATTGTTTTGCATTTTGATTCAAAAATACATTTCATTCTTCTTCTAAAAGAAATTGCTTATCCTTTCACCCATTATTTGAGGTTTCATACACATTTACTGTATTATACATTGTTCAATTCAGAATACAAAAGGAATGTGGAATGGGATATTTTTATTGTGATTTGCGATACTGAATAGATATTCCATTCATTTCGGTTTTTATATGATATGTCATTAGTACTGTTTTGCCTACACTTACATAGACCTATGTTTAGTAATATTAAACTGGTCGATTTCGTTGGCTGTGAGTATGTGTAGGAGCCGAATTGATGCCCATGTGTCATAGCTAAGTTTCATTTAAAAGGAGAATGAATAAGATGCGAACTTAATCCATAGACTATACCGTTAATGGCATTACTTGACTCCAGTAGATTTTCGCGTGTTTAAGTGACATATTACTCTTGATTATACATATCAGTATCATTACTAGTACATCTGTACATTATCAAAATTATATATCACTTGTACATATATATGATTTGCAGATTAAAATTAATTTACAATTCTTCTAAAGCACGCTTATTTAAAGCAAAGGCATCAACTTTCAAAGCGATGTCAATACTTTCTTTCTCTTATATCAGACTATATTCGAACAATAATTCAAGCTAACAATACTTTATAAGACCGTTGTTCAGTATGCAAATTGTTTTAAATAGAAACCAAAGTGTCCAACGCATATTCCACTTAACAAGATATTTACATTTTCTTTTAAGAATATTTCAAAGAGCAAATAAAAAATGTTTGTATGACGACAACAAATTGTCTTCTTATCAATTTTCATATCTCTAAAGATAGAAGAAATAATAGGTTGAAATCAAACCAAAACAAGTTTCTTTTGGAAAAATGAATGGAATTACACTGTTATGAGTATAAGCTCATAATAGTGTGATTCCAAATGCCTTATTTCCATATTATTAGTCAGTGATCCGTAACGGACAAATCCAGGTTTAAGATAATCATACATGAGCACCGTGTTACCAATGAACAATGAAGAGCTAAAAATAAATGACCCCTAATAACGACTGTTCAGTGGTCTCTGCATTACAAGGAAACACAAGTAAACAATACGGTATACCTCGGTGTATATTGTTAAGTCAAACATTTAAATGGACCAGTGTCAATGTGTTGACTAGAGCACACTTCGTACGAACAAAATGTTAACGATCGTCCCCTTACTATATGTACTAACGAGACGATTTTTTGTTTTTCTACCATTTTTAAGCGTATCTCATGAGCAACATACTGTAAAGATGGTCCTCAGATCAAATCTGTGCGCGGTTTAACAAACGTTTGAAGTAAAAATGAGACATCCATGAATTAGGCTATGTCTTTCTTTATTGATGAATTCTGTAATGTACTTGTATTTTAGTGAGGAAGTCCTTTGGGTAGAGTAGTTGATGCTGTGATATACTTGTATTTTAGTGAGGAAGTCCTTTGGGTAGAGTAATTGATGCTGTGATATACTAGGATTTTAGTGAGGAAGCCTTTGGGCTAGGTAGTTGATGCTGTGATATACTTGTATTTTAGTGAGGAAGTCCTTTGGGCTGGGTAGTTGATGCTGAGATGAACTTGAATTTTAGTGAGAAGTCCTTTGGGTAGAGTAGTTGATGCTGTGATGTACTTGTATTTTAGTGAGGAAGTCCTTTGGGTAGAGTAATTGATGCTGTGATGTACTTGTATTTTAATGAGAAGTCCTTTTGGTAGAGTAGTTAATGCTGTGATGTACTTGTATTTTAGTGAGGAATTCCTTTAGGCTGGGTAGTTGATGCTGTGATGTACTTGTATTTTAGTGAGAAGTCCTTTGGGTAGAGTAGTTGATGCTGTGATGTACTTGTATTTTAGTGAGAAGTCCTTTGGGTAGAGTAGTTGATGCTGTGATGTACTTGTATTTTAGCGAGGAAGCCTTTGGGTGGAGTAGATTATGCTGTGATGTACTTGTATTTTAAGCTATAATTTGTCCATATGTGTATTTTGATGCCTTTATACACTTTAGAGTATATATATCATCCTATTGTCCTTTGCTCATTCTTATCCTTGTACGATGCCGTTTTGGTATACTTTATATCCGGTATGGAATTTTTTTCTACTGAAACCATAATGTCGATATCACTCCTAACTCTATCATATCAGATTCGTAATATAACTTTTCATATCCAATTCAAAAAACATATCACTAATAACGACAAACATTACATATGCATTACAACCATTTACAAATTAATATTCTGGCTGCTATCACAATTTACTAGACCACTGGTATACGAAAGCGATCGATTGCTAGTTAAACGTGCGGTTCAACATAAAACCATTAAAATAGCAGTATCGATTTCGGGAAACAAGCTAATTCTATCAACATGCGTTTACCATATTGTTTTGAATGTGTTTTGATATACTGAACTCATTGAGCGGATACACGATGATGAATGATCCAGTTCTTCATAAACTCTAGAATGCCTTTTTAGATTTGTCAATGTTTAATGTTTTCAATCAATAACTAACGGTCGACGTAACTTTATTTGCGGTATATGTGGGAGACAAAAATGAGAATATTGTATTTCAAATATGTTTCATAGATAAATGACCTTCTTAATATTAAGTTAGTGTGTATTGTGTATATATTTACAGTTTGTTTCAGTGTTGGGATTTGATATGACAGTAAAAGACAAAATGAAACTTTGGGTTTGATTTGGAAGAATGGGAAAAGGAACGAATAGTACAGGGATTTCTGTCAATAACAACAGGAATATACCAAAATGTAATCAAAACCCAAAACAAAACAAAAATACATGGAAAATCCTGAAAAAAGTACTAGGAGAATAAGAGAATACGACCAGGTGTGACGGAACAGTAAGCGCCTTCAGCTCCTTCGACATCCGCCATGTAAATTTTGGTTAAATAAAAAAATGTGACGTTCTCAAATGAGAACGAGGTATACAACAACTTAACCAACAGGCAAACTAACGAGCGTCAAACACGTCGAGCTTCATATTGCACAAAGAAATAGAATATTTCTTACTGGTCACTAATATGCCCGTAAAACCTCCCCATAACGTGTATCAACCTGCATCTCTCGGAAATAACATAGGTTATAGTTGGTTTGATCATAGAACGATAGATAACAAGTGATTCGTACGTACAATATGAAGAGGTGTAACAAATTGTGATTTCATTGTTTTGCTTGTGTTATCTGCCAGGTATCGGATATGAAACCGCCAAGTTTATATCCATGATGGGACCCACTGTCATAATCGCATGCCGTTCAAAGGAAAAAGCTGAAAGGGTAATTTTTTTACTTACATCTAACATTTTACAGACATTTCCAATCCTTTGGTTATTTTATAATGTATAAACTACACTTAGATTTTAGTCGTCATATATACAGTTTGTATAAGACCATTAGCATTAAATCACAGGAAAACAATTAAGGATTTCATCGTTTGTTTTATGTTCCGCTACGCGTGATCACATATGTTAAGATATGTCGATAATGTCATCAATTGCACAACGCATACGCAGTTCATTGTACATAAATGAATGGGATGATTCCAGGGCTAGATTTTGAGAAAGATAAATTGGAAATTCAGCAAGAATACCTGGAAATCATTTTGAATCCGGATTTTCAAGACAATAGACTCGATTCAGTATGAATCATACTAGTGTCTCTGAAACAAATGAATAGTAATAATAATTACAATAATAATAATAACAAAGTTCCTTTAAGGATACCAATTTACTCATACATGATATCAAAAAACTGATTTTGATGTCGATTCAAGTGTCAAAGAATCAAACAAATATTAAATCTATATATCTGTAATTTCTTTGATCTATTCTTGAAGCTATAACGTAAAATTTACAATTCTCCTAGTTTTATACGTCTGATTTAGGATTAAATGACTACCAAACCAATGAAACTCGATGCACAGTCATTGTGGCAATGAATATTTAAACGGAGATGTGATATTCAATCTACACACACTTTTTTTTACATGTAAGCGAGTTACTTATTCTTATCTAGATTACGTAATCAACCTATTTAATCAGATTAAAATGTATGTATACAATATTTTTAAGATTTATCCGGTGAACTCATTTACATATATTGTATATAATAAGTCGAAATATTGCATGTGTTAATCTATATTAACATACCGTAAGTTGAATGACAAACATTATAGACTTTTTTAAAATACTTAACATCTTATAAGGATGTTTCCTGTTTCATTTAAAGATAAAAGAAAAAACTGCCAGTGTGTTTGAAAAAACATTAGTAAATTGTCAAAACTAACACTTGTTCAAGTGAAATCATCTTCACACCAAGTGCGTAAAATTGATATTTTTCATTAGTTCCGTATTGTAAGTGGATGTCACATACGTTTTTTAATACACATCTCACACAAGTTGTACATTTAATCAAATGAATAAAGTCACAAAAGTGTATAACATCATGTTTCATTACAAATTTCGAATTATATACAATATAGCTGAATATCCTATTATACATGATTATATAGCTGTTTTGTCCTTTTAAGACTCGTCACTGATGGTAGGTGCCAACATGTATTCACTTAAGCAAGACCTACCAATATTTGGTGTCGTTGATGAGTTTAATATGAATTCTTATTTTCGACAATGAAATTTTGTGCAGGCAATAGAACAGATGAACGAGGAATTCCAAGAGGAGAAAGCAAATTTAACACAAAATATCATCAGCGATGATAGACTTAGCCTAGAGTTTGGGAAACTGGACCTGGCCAGCCTGAAATCTACTATGGAGTTTGTGGAGAACTTTAAGGCGTCCGGAAGAAAACTTCACGTCCTTATCTGCAACGCTGGTGTAATGATGTCTGAGGAGAGTATGTATCAAGTAGATGACATAACGATTATATAAACAAAACAAAAAATACAAGATTAATTAACTCGTGATTGGCTTTATTATTGATCACGTAAATAGCCAAAATGGATTTATGAATATGTAAATGACCTAATGTGTTGAACTATCATCTAAGCATTGAAAAAATATTCCTTCACATTAGTCAGACATGTATGACCTTGTATATTTCCATACCACTAGTTATCATCAGTAGAAAACTTATCATTACTACATACCTGACACAATATAGCCATCTGATACAACGGTAAATATTCTATGATGTGAAAGAATATTAGTCAACCCCAAATATATTGTTGTCAAGTGAATAGCGACATCATACATAAATAATGACTCGTCTTTTATGTAAACATGTGGGACACCTGTATCAGTGACAAAAGCATTTTCCCTTTCAAATACAGCAACCATTTTATAACTGTTCTACATTACATGGTGATGAGTTGTTTTCGGATTGTGTTGTCATCGATATTGTCTGTAAATAGTGCATAGTAGCAAAATTGCGTTGCATTGCAATATATCGAACAGCGCAGACAGAAATTGGCACCGCATGTCCTAGACGTTTTCTTTTGTTAAACTAAATAATTCACAAGCGTTATGCGACACCAGCAGTATTAACTGTAAGGTTAAGACTACATCATGAATATTGCATTATCTGAGTGTTGTTTGGGCACCATATGATAACGCAAACACGTCTAAAGTGACATTGGAAAAACACATCATGTAGTCTAAAGTCAACTTTCCATCCATAAAAAGGTATATTTGTGATCGGTCAGGTTTAGACGCTATTGACATTCGCAAACATGTATCATATGTACTTATACTATGTTCTACCATCTATTCATTTTTTTTTTCTATTTTTGTTTTCAGTTGTGACAGATGATAATTATGAGCTGACATATCAGGTAAGACTTTCTACAGCAGCTTTATTAATTATACTCAGACCATAATAAATTATTTAATCATAATAAAAAAGGCTAAGGTTATAAAAACCTTACGCTCTAGTTATCGCTGACACGTAATTCAGTATCGATATAAGTATTGATTATACATGACTGTGAGGTGATATGATGACACTGGTAAAGTATTGATCAGTAGGACATTCTTTCATGTTACTGTGTTCATGTGACTAGTGTTAATTGTCTTTTTAATGACTCGAACAACGAATATAGGAGAAAACTCGACTCCAGACACATTATTAATTCCAAATTATAACCTTATTTGAATTTTATACATATTATTAAAATGAATCTTGATTGTTTTTCCTTTCCTTCGAGAGACTGCAGTGAACCCCATCGGTTTCGTTCTTTACATGACTAAAACCATAAATCATGTTTGTTACATTTAGATTGAAGTTTAAAAATAAGCATGACTGGAGTTACCCTAATAGGACTTTCTACCTTAGCTTATATCGAATAGATCTTGTTTCATAAATGTAAAAGATTGAAATTTTCACAATGAACTTAAAGTGCATTTATTTCATTATCCGCTTTTTCTCATTATTAAAGGTCAATTACCTCAGTCAGTTTCTTATAATGGCACATTTCCTGCCGATTATGAAAAAATCTGGAAATGACGTAAGAATCGTTTTGGTATCAAGTGCGGCGCACAAACATTGTCACTATGATGCTAACTACGCAGCGGGTGTGCGGATGGCGAAGCATGATCCTCTCCAATGTTACAGCAACACAAAGCTTTATCAGGTAAGTATATTACATTCTTTGAACTTCTGACTTAATGTGCCGTCCTTGTAACATAAATACATCACTTTAATTTATCTTCGGTATGACGTGTTAACAAATACAAGTTACTCCAAAACATTTATTATACAATTACCATCAATGGTTTCTTATTCATACTTTGCTACTTAATTTGGTAAGAATTTATACATATATTTGAGTCTATAATTCTTCATTAGTTTTTTGTGACAATAAATGTGAAAAATGCATGTTGAAATAAAACCTAAATAAGCACTTAATGATTATGTGTAGTCATTAGTAGACGGCAAGATACAAGTTTATATATACGAATTTTATCAACTATATTTCCTCATAGGTTTGATGGCAGTGGCGCTATGATGCAGGATCAATCTCTGTATTAAAATTGACATATTCACCATGTAGTGCTTTAGATCTCCGCGTCATTTGCTCACATAAATTTACATTTGCATGGCTATGCCACTTTTTAAATTGAGCAGAAAAAAATGATCAAAGATATCAAACATTATGCAAAAAATATGTGACGTCAGTATTATTGAGATAATGGAAACGAAATGGTCTGATCTTACTTGCTGTTCAATATAACGGAAATATATTTTTTCTCAAAAAAAGATCATACATATATGTACAGCAATATCGTTCAATGCTTTAAAAAGCTTGTGTGTGATTTACAGATAATGCAGATGTACAGCATAGACCGGATGTTGGAGAAAACACACGTAGAGTTATATAGTGTTCATCCGGGATACGTTACCAAGGATCTCTACCGACGAAATCGACACTTCGGAAAAAAGTTCAACTGCTTCAGGTGTTGTTTGAAATGTTTATGTAAGTATCAAGTTAATATTTTTTTATTTTTACATAAAATGTACTACAAGTGACCTGATAGTAAGAAAAAAAGACCACCCCCAACAAAACAAAAGATGAATTATTTTCGTCTTTTAACAAACAAATGAACTAGTAATGAAATCCAAACAAAGTTATAGAGTTCATTCTTTAAGTTACAACTATTCGTCATTGCTGATTATTAATTCCATAACTAATTCCTTTTAGTAACAAACTTTACTGAGTAGCTAAGTGTTTAAGAGTGATCTCCCTTCCATTGGAATTTTTTTTTATTGCCTTCTGTACAGATTTGTATTAGAATGCAAATTAGAATAATCAGATGATAAGGGTTCCATTTACTTTCATTAAAATAATTTCTTTGTAGGTATGATAAAGACTCCCAGAAAAGGGTCGGCTACGACCATATATGCGGCTGTAAGTCCCGAACTAAAGGGCTTGAGTCGGGCTTACTTCACGCACTCTCGAGACGCCGCTGAGTTTCCTAGTCAGACCGCCAGGTGCGTGTGTTATCTCCTTATAGTTGTAACAAACTCTAACTAAACCCAACACTGCCTTATGATATTCGTTCATGTAATTCTGATTAAACAGGAACCTGACACCCAATCTTTTTTTAATCTATTTAAATGCACTTTAAAAGAAAGAACCCCGCTGATTTTTCAGACTCTTGAATGATAATGCTTTAAAGTTGAACGAAAGTTCGCGGTGTTATACAGGCTTATAAGCACGCAGTAGTAAACAACCAAGTTCTAGGATTAAGATTTCACCATATCAGAAACATAAAACGAATACATTAATGCTTTATAGTATTGTACATTGTACAATTACGTATGTCTGATAATGAACATATTCTCAAATAGTGTCGGTGAAATTGATTTCTGTATACTTTTTTCTCTCTCCATTTTATCGGATATTCATACTGAATACGTGTTTTTTCGACTTGGTGTCTTTTTATGAAATTAAATTTGACTTTCTGGTTTATTTACAGAGACAGAGAGCTGCAGGACTATCTCCTTCAATGCACAATTGACAACCTAAGAGATCTACTACCTGAAGATTTCATCCAGGAGGCGCTCCGGACGGTGAAAAAGACGAACACAAAATCATCTTCATCCCATCACTGAATTCTGTGATCATTCTCCAAAGTTAATGAATGACATCACCAACATTATATTATAGGCAACAACCTATGATATAACAAGAGATAAAAGTTATTTTTGCTTTTTAATCCAGAATCACATCATACGTAAATACCAATAATAATGTTAAGTATGATATTTAAACTCATATCTGTCACGTTTTCCTCCGAGTTTGTTAATAAACATATGCATAATAGGTCTACATGGATATAAAAAGGACAATCCATCTCCGAATTTTATGCCGTATCCTGTAAAGGACAGCAATTCTGGTGACCAGTGATTGAAAAAGCTTTCCTGATAAGTGTTTTTATTTCAAGAGGATGTGTTTTTACTGTTTTCGACGATTTAATAAAATTGCTTAAAAGAGAAATCTTGAAAATATGATTTGTAAAGAAAACCATATATCTATCTGTTTCATGACCCCAGTAAAAGTATGCCAGTGCTTTTTCAAGCCTTTAGCAAATCCGCGAAAATTCTAACCATAAAGATTGCAACCATTACCATAATTTATTTTTATTCATAGATTTGTTCTTGTCGTTCTTCCACTTACTCTCTCTAACACGAAAGCACCATAGGAATAGTGTAACTGATGTCATCATGTCAATACTATCTAGATATAGGTACTATGGGATTCCTCCATCCCTCTTACCCTTCCTAACTACTACCGATGTACTCAATACAATAATGATGCAATGAAACTTCCTTACTTCTTAATAAGTCATTGTGTGAAATATTTATCTTATTTTTGAAATTGTCTAGAGTTTGTCATACAAATCAGGTATGTGAGCGCTTCCTTTCGGTTCTTTAAATGTTTCATATTCATTGGCAATTGTAGGTTGGTCAAGGGTTTTTCTTTTATTGAATTCGACAAAGACACTTTACATCAAACTCTAATTCATGAAACGCGTTGTATGAATCTTAAGTTCTTTCTATTTTGATTTCATCTGATCAAATATCAATTTATATTTTAAATCTATTTGGCATACATTAAATACGTTATCTAACATGAAAAAAAAATTGACTTTTTTTAATAATGGAAAGTAATAAAAGTGCCTAAACATCTATGATCAGTATTTCGTCACACAATACATATATAATACTTCTCGATCTTTATCCTTACAGTTATTATAAATAACCGATTGAATTCTCCCGTTTCTTCAATCCTAACTGTATTTCGTTTAATATGACATTCGTTTGTCAATTATTTAATATTGATGTTCGGTAAAATTGCTCTATCTAAAAATCTATTAAACATTGTTTATTAACTGAAATGAGTTTAATTTCCACAACTTACTGGGAAAAAAACGCAGATTTTCCAATACGATTGATTATGCAACGGATCTTCATTTTTGACTACTCTAATAAATGTCCTTGATTCATGCATAAACACAACAGCTGTGTCAAAGGACATGTAAAAAAGGAAATTTAATCAGTTTGAAAAATCGTCTTGTTTAGAATAACAAAAAGACATTATATATAAATGTTGGTCCTTGTGCATATTTAGTGTGTCATAAATACTCTTAGCCAGATTAAATACAATACTTGGTATAACATCTTGTGTCATGTACCATGATGATTGTAAAGTATGATACATTGATACAATCAAACTTAATACAGTCATAACATTATATATTGTACAGAATTGTAAACATGCCATGCGTACCATTAACTTTTTTTATCCAATCAAAAGGTCTGTGATGTGTTTTTAACTTAAAATAAATTGCGTTAAGTATGTTGCATTCAGTATGTATGAATTGTATTTCTTATACAGAAGAAATAAAACACTTTGCCGAAATACGTTTTCCTTGTCAAAATTAAAAAAAAACTACACAATGTAAATGCATTTTCTGTTACCAATAGCACGTGTGATCAATGTATCAGAGCAGAGAAAAACACTCCTGCCGAGAGCCCCGACAGAAATCGAACCCAGGTCCCCAACGTGATATTCAATGTCCATCACCGCAGACAAAGAAGCATAACCCGTCTGTGGAGTGACAGACACCACAGTAACTTAATACTATGCACCAGTCATACCGACCTGCTAATTGTACACAAAATACAATTGACTTTAACCGTAATTTGTAATCAAATATACCTTATTTACGTTTAATAATACAATTTTTTGTTTCTAGATAAATAATGAGAAAAAGGAAAAAGAAGACAAATATAAGTTAAATGTAAAGTATCTCAAAAACTATTACCCTCTGATGAAATATACATAGAAGATCATCTGGATGTAGAAATTGTACAGTGTATAATATATGTTTACTTACGTACAGCGTTATTGTGAAAGTCAGTTTGTCAAAGAAGACTCGTTAGATGGCAGGGGATCCATGCCCAAATATTTCCTTAAGTTTGATGTGTTCCTTTTTCTGTTCACGGGTAAGATTGACATTGTGAAACTGAAAACTGAGGCAACGAAGCGTCTGAATTTCGAGAGCTGTAAACAGCATGCTGAAAACACTGCTCTGACAACTACGATCTAGCGATAATTGCATATTTGTATATATCGGAACAACGATACCATTTTAAACAGAACTAAGAATTATATTTTAGTAAACAAATGTTTACGTATAGATGAAACCTGTGCTTGCGCGGGAACAAATATATATTGTGATGTGTTACTTTGGAGTTACCGTCAGCTTAATTCGGCAATGTATAACAAAGATTTCTTAAAATCCGGATTTGTTATGTATATTACATAGGTTATTGAAAATGGTGCGGAAGCTTCACGGTTGTCATAATCATTTCATTTAGACATTTCTGTATTTCTTTTGAGCGCTATGGAATTAGACTTTGTTGATGATCGTTGGTATGCCTGATGGTTTAATTTTTGTTTCCCTTGTTCTTTATTGGGAACGTGACATTATTTACTTGGATTGCAAGATTGACATGACAAGCCAATGAAGCAGAAGACGCTCACTCATCCGGAGTTGGAGTACGAATTAAATGCTGTTTGCATATTGGTATTTTCGAAGTTACTTATAGAAAGTCAACATTTATTTACGTGCAGAATTTGACATAAAATCTACATGAACATGTGATTTTGGAATTTTCTCTCATTTAGCTGTTTGAAAAAGTATGTACACCAATCCTACTTTCAAAATAATAGAAAACAACACATTAAACAAATTGAGGTCATTATTAAAATAATTTTGAGGTGAATCATTTTTCGTTTCATCAGTTTTACAGAGAATAATGTAAATTTTATGATAAAACAATCATGGAGCTTTACATTACAATATTTACTTATCTATTGACTTATCTATCTGATTTGCTTCTACGATGACTGTTTTCATCAGTTTTAAGTTAACGGGAAAAGAAGAAGATGGTTGGTCGTTATGTTGCTTAGTGTGACTTGTGACATGGGTTGCAATTTATTTGATGATTTCTATTAACATATACACAAAGCATCGGTACGGGTGTAATAAACCCTACCTAAAAGGTATTCCTGTTGGACTATTCGTGTTGTTGGGTTGTTCCTGTTGTTGGGTTGTTCCTGTTGTTAGGTTGATCCTGTTGTGTGTAGCACAAGGGAAACAAAAAATTAAACCATCAGGCATACCAACAAAGAGCACTTCTCCACTGTATCAACACAGACATTATCAGTCATCATTCAGGCTTATCTAACACTGTACTTTATTTACAGACCAGCTCTGGTATATCTAAATAGAATGATATCAGCTACCCAGGGTCACCATTCAAAGTAAATATAATCTGTCTACCAACACATTAACACAACCGAATATGGGTTCTCACCTGTCTTTCCCCAGGGTTACCATGACAAAGGAATAAATTGTCATCGTTACCGTTGCTAACACAGGTAGGTCCAAGACACACATAATATAAGATACACTTCTATAAGCAGCGATTGAAGTAAAGTATCAAGAGATTTCGATATCTGCATGTCAACATGGCCATTAAAAATGAAGACATGAAGATGGATAAGATTTTCATGACATTTGTCGTCGATGAAGACGCTCACTCTTCCGCAACACCTGGTTTTGTTCTCTGGGTACGTTTTACAGGAATCTCCATGCAAATCTTTCTTTTGTGCATAGTTTGAAGTAGTTTTATTGACTTTGAGTTTGGATTATGATTATGTTGTTATGTTGATATTTTCTTGGTTTTTGTATGACGTATTTGTATACAATATCTATCGTTAATTGTTGTGTATAAACCCTTTGGTAGATTTTACTTCCTGTATGATACAAACCTGAATGTACCATAGGCTCCTTACAACGTTTTCGCACTTCTACTTATTTTGTATTTGAATATTGTTATAATGACTGCAACCATTGAGAACTGCAAACCAACATACACGTATAACAAAATCTGTTCCAAAATCAACATCAGAACTATTTTTCTCATACATCATATATCTTAGTGTATTTTGAAACATCTATAACGTGCAAGTAGCCTATGAGGGGAAAAGCATAAGTAGTTGGTCTCAAGAAGAAGAGGTTCATGTTATTAACAACCAAATATCCTCTGCTTATCTATTCATATATTTCTGACTGCATTTTAAGTGTAAATTCTTTGCCTACATGCCATGTATAAATCCTATAGATATTAATATAGTTCTTCTACATCATCAGTCATCAATTTACGGATGTTACTGTATAATGCGTGAACCCTACTGTGACGTCAGGTTTACAAGTACATTTGTACATTGACGTCACACAGTGACTTTACAACGGAAATGATAGATATAGAGCAAAAAGCCTTTAAGTATGACGTAGAAATGTGTTGTTTTTTGCTTGTTGGGTTTGTTTTTACAATATTTATCTGAATAATCAATCATTTGATAACAAAATCTCATATAAGTTTCCACTTAATCCGTGATTTCCGAAAGTCATTGCAATATTTTGCAATTCATCGGTAAAACGGGGAAAAATTTACATTGATTGATTAAATGTTATATCGAATAAAATCAACATTTTAGATCTGATATCTATCTACGTATCGGTTGAACATTCATCAGTAATTTGTTAAATAAAACTAAAATCAAATCAAACAGGATACGAAACAGCCAAATGGATAGTCATGTTGGGAGCCACAGTCATATCGGGCTGTCGGTTGGAAGAGAAGGCAAGGGAGGTAAGCCTTGATACTATTTTCTCATTTATCCTTATTCATTGCAAAGTATATATTGGTCAACTGTCTACAAATAAAATGAAATTACAATGTTAGTGGGGAAGACTTACTGAAAGTGTTTTTAGAAGTGGAATCTTTTCAACCCTACTTAGTTAAGATGATATGCTTTGAGTATTTTTAAGACTGTAACTACAGAATATTATAACTTATATTTACTAATATCTTGTTTGTGTTAAAACGTCATAAGAATGATTCGTTAACCAATCTATTTGATATAAAATTTAAGTGTTACAAATAAAGGAGGAGTGCCAGTTTGGGCCTTCTGGTGGCCATGACGAATATTTTTTATTTTTTTATCTATTAAAAACTTAAGGTCAGACGGTAATGACATGACATTAGTCTCAGCTCAAATAGGGGGGACGAGTGGGGGGGCAAATTCATAATTATTGCTATAATTATCAAACTAAAATATTTTTTTTTTAGTTTTTTTCTCTTAAATGTCATTTGATGATATATTTCAAAACCTTCATTAGAAAAAATGTCCAAAAAATATGCCATTGTTGAAAAGTAGGTCACAGTAATTAAGTGCCCTAATTACTAATTAAGTCACACTTGAGCACCGTTTTTTGTCTTAATGCATCTATAAACAATACGTTTATCACGTGCAGTGTATTTATTTAAAATATTTTTGCATGAATTAGAGCAATGAAGAAGACAGTATAATGAACGTAATTTTCGACGAACATTCTTCTAAGGAAATTCGAAAGCATTCCAGGTATCTTATGGAATATTGTTTATAGAAATAATTGACAATGATCACGTTGGCTGTCCTTTTATTTAGGTGTTATGATAACTACATACTGTTATTTTTAATGTAACTATTGTTTAATTAAAAACAAAGACAAAACAAAGCATGAAAATTATAAAATAATTCAAATTATCATTTGTAAGGCAAAAAAAATGATCAAAAATATTTTGCTTTGTTTTTGAAGGTCATGAAGATGTTTAGTATAAACCGACGACTTCAAAATTCAAACGTCACAGTATCTAATTTACATCCGGGTGTTGTGCAGACAGAAATAACAAGAAACTTCAGTGATATGGGACCTTAGGCGTTGCTGTTCGGTTTAGGGAAATTCATTGGAGAGTATGAATTGATAAACTGTGTGTTTTAAAATGACTCTAGAGAGATGTTCCGTGGATTCAATTTAAAATTTCATTTTGATGATTTACAAGCTTTACATACAAAATAAAATGGTTTTCCTCAGTTTTCATGACAATGGAACTTAGTATTTGTAATTCATAATTTGTACATAAAGCAAAAACAGTCTCGTTCTACTGTAATGGAAAACATCATTGACTAAATATACCTATATACAATCACAGATAAGAGAAACTTTTTTATTCGTGTAATTGACACTAATGTATTTTTATTTTTAAAAAAAAACCTTCGGTTGTTAGCATCTTATATGGATTTTACCACTTCAGTCAAAATCAATTACATCATTCTAATAATATTTCAATTTTTAAATGAAGGTGAATGTTATTGACGCGAATTTTGTTTACTTCAAATCAACAAGATGTAATTGTAGAAATGTGAACGGTAAGGCAAAACATTACAAATTACCACATTTGTTTCTGATTAATTTCATTTTTTTTTTATAGGCCCGTCAAAAACTCCATATGAAGGAGCTGAGACCACGATCAATGCCGCCGTGAACCCGGCACTTCAAGACGTCCGTGATGTGTATTATAGTGACTGTAAACCCAACACCCCAGACAGTAGAACTAGGTAAAATTATCAAAATACGAAGATGAATGTTTTTATATATTCAGATATGCGAACCATGTTATACTAATGGTACTGTACACTAAGCCATAGTAAGGTAACGTACACTATATCTTTAGTTACTGTATACAATTTTCGAAGCTTCAGAAAGAAATTCCTTATGTAACAGGGATGAAAAATTCAATGAAAATGTTTAAAATCACCAATCGAAAATATAGCAATAAATGAGTAATGATATCTGACAATCGCTCTTCAAAATATCACATTTGTATTTGCTTGTACTTTTTATTAATCGTTAGACCTATGAAAAGTAGGATATTTATCTGAACTCAATCAGGCCAAATGTCAAATAAGGTGGCATGCATCAAAATTTCAATTCTAGTGCCCCACTTTTAACGAAGATCTGTGTTCTCTTTAACATCGGATACTATGACCATGTGCCAGATTAAAATAGTATATATCGAGTGAACAGTATATGTAATTATTGTTTGTGATACTGTTAATACTTTACCTTGTTGAAACTATGTTTTATTTTACTTACAAATAAGCAGAACCAGGAAACGTTATGGACATACACTCAGAATTGTCTTAAGGAAGGAGGTTCTCTTCCTGATATCATCAAGTGTTTGGACGGGAAATGAAGAGTTGCTACTGGACTATATATTATTGTATTAACGGGATGATATCATCTATAGGAGCAAGGAAGGTACTTCGCGAATTGGTTTATCAAGTGTACACAGTGGAATCGCAACAAATACTGGTGTGAATGACACCAATGAATATACTTCAGTGTTAGTCCATGCAAGTGAGCTGGAAACCTTGTAAACGTGGTGTGTTGATCTTTTGTACGCAATCATGCAGAAAAAAATAATACTTCACACTATTTTTTTTTTTAGTATTAATTTATGGGTGGATTATTCTGGTAGAAGGGGAGACTACTGTGTAACTACATAATAATTCAACAAAACTTACTTCCGTAGTTATTGTCAAAATTATCAAGACTTGTCCATGCACAAGTTAATGACATTATATAAACATTCTGGCTAAGCCGGACATCGTTTCATGACCTTTTTTTTTTTTTTTTTAATCATAACTTCGTAACTTGGCGGTCATTTAATTATCAATGACCTAAAATACAGACAAGATGTCATATAAATATGATTCATCTATTGAAAGTAGAGTCTAACGAACTGACCATGCTGGAAATGCCTTCATGTCCGAATAATACAAGGGTTATTCTAGCAAAGCCAGCGATTGAATCATGCTATTATTTATCCAGTAAAATAATAGAAACGGTCGAGATCTCAAACGATGTTTATCGAAATACTGTGTTCAAATACTAAGATGATTGGTGAAATGTTTCATATGCTGATTTTTTATCAAAGTACCATTATTATAAAAAAATTCTTTCACAATGCAATGAACTGTGGAAATAGTGAAAGGTTGACTGCTAGTTGACAGGATGGATTGTCCATACTTTTCTACTTCACAGCTGACACTGTAAAAACCTCAGACAAATGTTCAAGCTATAACATTCAAACAACAAAAGGATTTTTATGGACGTTTTATCTATGTTTTATCTATTGTGTATCTATAAGATGTTAATTTGTAGTATATCATGGTACAAAATAAGGCATTAACTGTTTACCTATCCAGTAAGACATATGCAGTAAAATTCTGAAAGGAAGTTACAGGTATTTGGTTAATGTGCTATATGCTCAATTGAAAATAACATTTAAATCATGTCCGATCAGATAACAATACGATCATAATGACATAAAAACCGTCTTTCTATCTCGGAAAAATGAAAAGAGGGTGTAAAATGAACGAAAAAATAATTAATAAAAACTTGAGCCACGAAACCGAAACCGGTTATAGTCTAATTTTGGACTAAAGTTTCAGCTTTCCGGAAAGGTATGTGTCTTCTGCTTCATCGATCAGTGACCTTCTCAAAGAAAATTATAATCTACTTCAGGTAATTTCAGGTCCTCAAAGATACAAAATGCACAAAATACACACAGAATTAGAATTAGATACAGCAGAACCAAATAGTGAATCAATTTGCATTATAAAGCTGTTTGCCCTTGCACACTTCAGTGACGATGAGATTAAATTTTGAAACCTAGGACGCGACTGTGGAAAATGTCAAAATTTAGATTGGGGCACTAGCCCTATAATTCCATAGATTTCGTGATTTCCATATACTGATCATTTCATGAGGACGTCTAGTGCATGTAAATATTCTGAATCATGTCTCTTTTCAATTGAATAAAACATGGCATGCATGGTTAGGTAAATATTGGGGACTGAAAATCAAGGAGGTTATAATCAATAAATATTTGCTGCAGTTAATAATATTTTTTCAATACAGATCGATTGATTTTACACTCCTTACCTTGTTCTGTTAGGTATTTATACCTATGACTGATTACTATTATATATACAAAAATAGATAAAATTATATAGTGTTTCTCACAGCATCATTGAGTCTAATTGTTATCACTATATTTAGTGTCTGGTTATATATGCGTGTTTACATCTTCCCTTTCATCGCGATTTCAGTCATTCTATCAAATGCGAAAGAATGATTCCGTTTGCCTATTTTTGCATAACCACGGATCTCGAACATTTTTTTCCTATTCTGACAAGTTCATTTAACAAAATAGAAACTATTTACTGTTTTGATGTTTATTTCAGTAATCAGTGGTCAGATGTTTACTTAAAATAGAGCAAAGCTGTTGATTCTTAAGTTTACTTACGAAGTGTACGAAATCACAATAAGACGACTAACCAAACATTTACTATAATCTACTACTGTGTATATATGGGGTACAATTACGATAGCAGGTACCCGAGGTCACAATGTAGATTACCAGTCACGTGTGGTAATACACTAGTGCAGTCGATTATGGGTGGCCACCTTTCTTTCCCCAGGGCTACCCTGCCAAAGGAGAGAATTGTTATAGTAACAGGTGCTAACACAGGTAGGCGATATCAACGCTTTATTTCAAATTTTTTGATATCATTGTTTTTTCTGTAGATATCATACCAACTGATTACAGCGTTATTTTTATATTACTGCAAATATTGATATAAGGGATTTATGGGAGGTAAATTTGCAATGAACGAGTTGAAGCCTAATAGGGTGTTGGGCATGTTGTTGATATGTAAATTGATTAACCTGAATTAGTGTCAAACTCTTTCAAGTCTCAGATACGAACACATTGTACATCAAATCAACCCTACAGGTAAATTTGTAATAAAATAGTCGCCTTTTATGTGTAAAGAAAGTTTATCAAGATGGATAATTGATCTGTTTAACTTTTGTTATATCAATATGTATCATTTTATATAAAATGCAACAAAGCGTTAGTGTAACATACAAAGGTTACAGGTTTATATACATGATTACGTTTTCATAATCCCTGTAAGCTGTTTACGTCGCAGAAAGGTCCTAACATAGAACAGTGTACACATTGTATGTTTTTGCTCGTTTTTGCTATATCACGTATGGGTTGCTCTGTGTTTACCGGAGGTGTGCTGATAAGAGCAACGTAATCTTTATTTTAGTTAAATATAGTTACTGTCGTATATCGAAAATATCCTTATTGGCGAGTTAACATTTTCCAAAATTTCAACCAATAGAATCATTATATCTATATATTTGGTAACATACAGGTAAACAGGATAAAACCAGTATTTTATTTATATGAGATTTCCAACTATTTGAGATCTAACAATAATATTGTGATATTTTATTTCCATTCCTGAAATTAGGGTATATCGGTATTATTAAGCCTATGAAAAAGTGCTATAGATTCTTAAGGGCATATGATACTTGTAAACAAAATAACGAAGTTGTATAAATGTGTAAAAATGCATATCAATGATCTCTCAAACGGTATCAATAGGACTGAGCTCTTTAAATGCTTGCAGTAAAGATTTTCGTGCATTTCATATTCGTGATTGTCTTATATTTACACATGTCTAATCCTATATGTTTAACTGACAAGTAATGGGTGTATCTAATAGAGTACGTTGTTATCAGTGTTTAATAACCTTATATTTTAAGTACCATTATTATCAATTAATCTAGTTGAACATCCGACAAGCCAGGTTACATGATTAAGTGAACAATGCTATTTCAAAGCTGATCCATTCTTACAGATAAAACAGCGAATGGATTACTAGATCAGTATAGTACGATAGAGACCCGTCTTAAGTTCTCGTTTCTGTGTAAAACCCGAGTAAAAAAGTGATTTATAATATATAATGCATATCAGAACCTTAACCTGTTATCAAATATTCCACAATAAAATGTTTATTTCAGATTTCAGAATGTTTTGTATGCTAAAAGAATATCCTTGTTAAAAAGCATGGTCATAGCTTCCTCTTAGACATCTTCAGTTTTGCTTGAGATCGCCCTTCTACTGGCCGATAAGAGCAAAACAATCCACCAGGGGATCAATTGAAGCTTATTTACAAGCTCATTACAATAAGAAACTAGAAAGCAATTAAACTCAATAAGTATGTGTTATTTTTACAGGTATAGGATACGAAACAGCCAAATGGATAGCAATGATGGGAGCCACGGTCATATTGGCATGTCGGTCCGAAGAAAGGGCAAAAGAGGTCAGATACTTAAATTACACTAAATACGTTAAGGGTAAACAAAGACATTCAAATTAGAGAAACAAAACACAATGTTATCGAATGATTTGTGTTTGATAAACTGAAAGTTGCTCTTATGATGTCTCATTTGCTTTCTTTAGGCAATGACGAGAATGAATGCGGAATTCGAGGCGGAGAAAGACAGAAAAACAGAAGGCGTGGTTGATTACTCAGAACTCAGTATAGAGTTTATGAAATTAGACTGTGCCAGTCTACAGTCAGTGATGGATTTTATAAAGAAATTCAAAGAGTCTGGTCGACAGTTACATGTTTTGGTGTGTAACGCTGGAATAGCCCTTCACAAACAAGGTAAAGTTTTATCGAGACAATATACACACAACTGAATGAAACATCAAATAAATGATTACAAAAAGAGTGTCTACATCCAATGATTATCTTTTTATATCTCATTCACTGTATTAAAGTAAAGCAAACTGATATACATTAGTTATACTCGTTAAAAAGATCAGCAATAATTCTGCATCAATTGTTTCAGAACATTTACCATGACATCATGCTGTTTTCTTCATTCGCAGCATACACAGCGGAAGGATATGAACTTATGTTTCAGGTAAAACGTTTTAATACTACATTAGTCAGATCAAATGATGTACAGTCGTATGTAACTGATTAACCACTTTGTACATTGAATGACTCATTTAATTAACTTACTTTCTTTTTTATTTACTTTATTTTCGGTTTTTATATGAAATTACCTTTTGTAATTACATTGATATAAATCTGAAAATCATCTAATTGATTTTCTAGGTCAATTATCTTAGTCAATATTTACTAGCTGCGCACCTTTTGCCGATCATGAAGACTTCCGGAGAAGATTGTCGAATAGTACTTGTTTCTAGTGAGGCTCACCGTTTATCCGAATTCAATTTGGACAGAATACAAGGAAAGCAATTCAATGAACAATCCTTTGGTAGAATGCTATTCTACGGGAACTCTAAACTATTCCAAGTATTGTTCTCTCTTATAGGGTTACACGTGTAGTAAACAGCTTCGTTAAACCAATCAATGGACCAGTAAATGCTTTGCAATATATGACCGTTATCTTGTAACATTCGTACCATTTTTTTAATTGAAAATATCAATTTTCGTTGCTTCATGAAAGAAATATTGATGATGTGATTTTCATTCATGTGTGAAATGATGCAATTTCTAGTTTCAAAATTATTATATGAATTAAATAATAACATCCAGAATTAAGTGATCATTTTAGCAAAAATTATATTTTGATGAAATTTAACAACGAAAATGCAATGAAAAGATTAAATCCTGCTCACATTTGATATCCTTCCTTAATTGTCGCGTTTGTTGTTTTCATGAAGATAATGCAGATGTACAGTATGAACCGACGACTTCTAAACTCAAATGTCACAGTGGTAAGCTTACATCCAGGCATTGTGGAAACGGAAGTAACAAGAAATTTTAAGGATATGACGTCGATGAGTCTCTTACTGAGTGTATCAAAATTCTTTGGTGAGCATATACTTTGGACTTTCTATGTTTTAAGTTACACCTGGCCTATATTCATTTGAGTGGTATATTTGTCAGCGCGGAGTATACATGGTGCTGTTAATGTTTGATAATGGCTGTGATTTACTCAAAACCAATAGTCAGGTGCACATACATGAAGGTTGTTGTTTCGGAAGTCCCTCTTAAGGTTACATCACTTCTCTGTATAGTAATAAACATGTTCTATTCATGACTATCACGAACTTTAATGAAGTAGAATGATCGATTCAAGATTCTGAAGAAAAAATGGCGATGGTGTTTGGTATGCTAATATGTTTTCTCACCTCTCTGTTCAATACATCGCACAAGATAAAGCATGTTTTCGTAAAGTTTTCTTCCGTAAATTGTTTTTCTTCATGCTTGTTGAGCATTTGTGTAATGGATGGCAGACCTATTTTCATTTCTTTTCTATCCGACAGGTAAGGCAAAAAATCCATTTGAAGGAGCTGAAACAAGCATCAACGCGGCGGTGAATTCGGACTTGAAAGGTGTCCGTGACGTGTATTATGTTGATTGTAAACCTTCAAATGTCAACAGTTTAGCAAGGTACGTTATGTATCTAGGTACTGTCTGAAACTGAAAAACATTGTCTGTCTTATTCTATGATAAGGTAAGAAGATAGCAGGATAGACCTATTTAGACAATGTAATTTATTCTAAACAATTATTTGCTTTTAGTTTTAGATTCTACGTCTTTAAGAGAGACGTGGCACGTTTCAAAACTATCGCACTGTAACTTTATCCACTATTTGTTCCACAGTACATAAGCGGTTACTCTTTATATGATCCGGTCTAAAGTTTGTTACATAAGGAAAAAACTGGTAGTTAAGTTCCTGGTTATTTCATGAAGTGAAGCATGCAGCTATACAGCTAAGGCACTGTGAATATATCGACTTTTTACTTTATCGTACATGATCTTTGATAGTAAATCTTCCGAGACGTTTAGAAGCTTTCCGATATTGATTTTTTTTCAAACGCGCATATGCGATAGCATCAACAAATATGATGAATAATGATTTGATTTGGGATATGATATGATACAATGTCACTGTGTGATCAAATCATCTAAATTAGCCACGCCTGTATTCATATCAGCGGTTGTTCGCTATGGTCATTAACCTAAAAATAAATAGGTAAAAACTGACAGTTAACATATAATAATTTCGTCTATCTTGTTGTTATAATTTATCTGTCAACTAAGATTCAAACCAACAAGGAAAGGTTCATTAGTGGCAAACAGTTGAGAGAACATACCTATCAACCAATAGTTAAATAGCAGACTAAGAGGATAACTGGAAATTTAAGTTCCTCGTGAATGTCAGGTCAGGTCTTCAATGTCGCATTAAGATATCACGCATCGGTATGGTTACAAGTGTCTCTTCGGATTGTAAGATGATGAAATTACTTAACATCGCGTGCAATATAGGAATACAATGACCAAAAGCAATGACTAGCAGATGGCACTTGCATGCAATTCTAGATTAAACTCTGTCATGTATCATTGTATTGATGGACAACTTTTCTTTTTCCAGGAACACGCAAAGTCAAGAATCTTTATGGGCATACACTCAGGATTGTCTAAAGAAAGGGGCTTTTCTTCCTGATGACATAGTCAAATGTTTGGAAGGAGAATGAACAATACCTCAATGCCTTGTATTGTCGATGTACTTACATGTTTATATTGCGATAGCTGTCTTTGTGTTTATAAGATCCTAGAATTTGCATGATCTTATAACGGGATAGAATCATTTGGAAATTAAACGTAGGTACTGGAATCTCTAAGATGGAATTCGGTTATAACAACAGCAAGATAATATCAGTTCAAACATCGACAGACTTTGGTAAAAACTTTGGATGCATAGTATAAAGTATTAGGTACGAGGACAGACCTTTCTCGAAACTCTTGATTTTTGAAGTTTGTTAAGTTTCATCTATCAATATACAGGCAGGGAGGGTACCAAAATTGCGTATTGTCTCATTCTGAAATTTGAATTTATACAACAGAAAAATATTTAAATAGCATCAGTCTTAGCATCATATACTAAAACATTGAAACTGATTACAACAGTTATAATCCCATACTGTCATGGCATACTCATCAACACCTAGATCTACATGTCCGTGAAAGTTATTATCCTACCAGCTCAGAAGCTTTCACAATCGTACTAATGACATGAATCACATTAATTTATACATGATGCAAAAGGTTGTGCTGATGCTTCACTTACATTTGAGCTGAAAAGAGAATATACATGTATGTGTATTATCACATTAACAAGAATGACATTTACCATAGTCCTGTCTGTGTTTTATTCTAAAATCAATGGTTTTCTTTAGAGAACCATTTTTTCTGAGAGGAGGCAAATAAACTGCTCAGAGTACCATCATCATCATCCATAGTCTTACTGCAAGATATGTACTATTCAATTGTGTGTCTTTTGTACAACGTTCGAGATTGCAGGTGGTAGACACTGTTGATTCTCAATTTTTGCCAAAAATATATTTTTAGATAGTGGCACAATTCAGAATATACACTTGCATTTAACATTATCTTGAAATCTTTCAATGAAGAACATGAGATTTATTGAAGTTTGGGATCAGTGCACCTCCGCGTCTAGATTGATTTTCCTCATTATGCCTTCTATGCGCAAATATGATTTAATTTGTTTCTTGATATCACTAACGAGTCCTGAAAGAGCGAAACGTCTTTATAATGCAATGATATTGAATTACCTTTTCGACATATGTAAAGGAAACACGTCTTTGCAGGACGTGAATATTAAGAATACTGCTTCACACCTAAATGACTAGTAGAAGGGAATCAGTTATATCCATGTAACTACACACCTTATCAATATGTAATAATGATATAAAATTCCAAAGCTGTGATTGTTCCTATCTAATTAAACTTATTGCTTTATATATACTTTATTTTATTCCATAACAACATGCGAATGATACATAGCAAAGTATACAGAGGTATTGGAATTGGAAACAAGTTAAACAACTTATATAAATCCTTTTCCATTTATATAAATCCTTTTCAATTATTGCTTTATATATACTTTACTTTGGACACATCAATACGCATTAACGTAGACTTACCGGGTTTAAGAAACGTCTAACATCGTTTAAGAAAAAAAAATTAAACCATTATAATATGTCCTCATTCATTGTGATGCCAGATACATGAATTTCGACGCGAACAGCTTTTACATGTCTACACGTAGTTTATTACCGTTTTCCTATCTAAACATACTGTCTGTGGATTTGGCATAGTAAAATATTTCAGTATATACCTTTAACTAATTCATAAAATTAGTATATATATATATGGATGATTTTGACAGTACACGGACTCGGAATTTATTTCATGTTTCAAATGTATTCGCGACCAAGACAGACGCGAACCTATCAAAGGAAAACCAACGGAAGTGACAACAAAGTAAATCACTGTTTATCATTATTACAGCAGGAACCTGAACTGGGTTCTATTTTGCTTTCCAGAATGTTCTCACACACTATTGCTTCAAAAAGGTACCACAGAATGGTTTGGCGCTGTGAGGTAATTTGTGCCATGACTTGCTTTTGTTTTCATACGAGGCTGAATTTACTGAAGAGCTTATCAAAACAGGTCACAAAGACAAGGTCGATAAATTTCCCTTACAGACATATCGATGACGTATTGTCTTTAAATAACAGAAATTTATTGACCAAGTCCATTGTCCACCTGACCTGGAAATCAAAGACACGACAGACTCTTCTACATCAGCTGCTTATTTCGTTATATTCTTACAACGAAACCAACATGGACAGCTTTCAACAAAGCTATATGAAAACCGTGATGATTTCAATTTCCCTATTGTGTTTCTTCCACTGCTGAAGAGCAATACGCCTGCATTTCCTACCTGTGGTTTTTAATGGCCTGTTCGAATAATCACCATTGTCTTGCATGAAGTCGTCAACTGACAGACAACCTCGTAACACAAGGGTTAAAAAAAATGCAGGTCAAATAACATAAGGAAGTTTTATTGTCGCCATAATGATATAATTAATAAATATTCTATTGTGTTATTTTGCCAATTGGTTCCGTTGTTGTATGCCTTGTTCTGATTTGAGAACGTTATATGACGTCTATGTTTACTTGACGGATGTCGTCGATGAAGCAGAAGACGTTTACTCTTCCGGAACACCTGGTTTTATTCTCCTTGTACTTTTCAGGAGTCTCCATGTAATTTTTTCTTTTGTTCATGTTATCCCCTAGTTGTATGGAATTTGAGTTTGGATTATGATTATGTTGACATGTTTAGTATTTTCTTGGTGTTTTTGTTAGTGTAAAGGAAAAACATTATCAACTGCTATCATTTTTTCTTATCCTGTTCCCATCAACCTGCCATACATGCTGAACAAATGTTATTTTTTGACGATCCATCTTTCAAGAGCTTATATCATGAAATCAATTAAGCATTCAGCAAATAATACCACCACTAGGTCATATCATGTGTGGATGAAATAAAAAAATATATTATGGATAAGATATACTCAAACAGACTAGTTATATGATCAATCATGTTGAAATTAAAATTTCAGCGATTTGACTTGCTATATATAGTAATTGATATCTAAAAATATATGATAATATGTTCGTCCGTCACTTTAGATAAGAATGAAATTATCTAGTAGTTTGATAAAGGACACTGTGAAATATCTCTAGGTTCTCAAAGTTCGCATGCAATTTGCACGCGTTCCTTCAAAAAGGTACGAATTAGTACAATATATAGAACGTTCTCAGCTACGTTATCGTTAGTCAAGTGTAGTAGCTATATATGATTACAGTCCACTAGTTTGTTTTCATTAAGATAATATGATATATAGCATTTCGTTAGTTTTAGTCTTAGAGTGGTCTGATCTAACTGTATTGTTGTGTTCTGCTTACAAAGCAGAAATAATGCAGTTTGGTCAATCCATTTTTCTGTCCTATATACTGAACTATTTACAGAAGTTGTTCCGCTTAAATCTACAACAACGTTGAATTGAAATAAACGTAGGGGGGGGGGACACAACCTAACATTTATCCAGAAGCCGATATCTTTATTGACAAATGACAAGAAAGTTAATTAATTCCAGATACCGCATCGTAACCGACATTATACTCACTAAAATAATGATTTGTAAATAGCTAGCCTGTAGGCCCATCTTATAGCACGAGAAATTATGGGTGGCCACCAGTCTTTTCCCAGGATAACCCTGCCAAAGGAGAGGGTTGTCATAGTAACTGGTGTCAAAACAGGTGAGTGTACTTGATGTTTCCTTATTGAAATTAATTCTTTTCATTGACAATACAATTAATCAACTGCTTTCCTTGGTAATGTCTTTAGATAAAAAGTTAAATGTCTTGAACTTTGGAATACTTGTATTTATCATCCCGTATGTAAATGCATAACAATTTCATATGTAGTACCTTCTTTTCGATTTTATTTCAATGTTATACAACGAGATATTTTTGTATTATTTATTGTAAACGTGCCATCAGATTGGTCGTGACACTTTAGCATTTTCGCCTGTCAATTGGAGGAGTCCTGTGGCGTTCCAGACGTTTCTTCGCCATCAACAAATCGTTAAACAGATTTTTGTTTCTCATTGATCTCTATTCATCACACAGTCAAAACAACATGCAATGTTCCTTATCGATCAAACAGAGTCTTATTTCAATGTAGGTCACCACATACTGACCTAACACGACACAAATCAACACAAGGGACATAACTCAAATGTTATTAAAACAAATGGAATGTTTCCAGAATGATCGAGACACGATTCAATATATTCATTTTTTTTATTTTCACAATATACATTATTGTAAAGTATTTTTTTCATTTCATTATCAGTAATTTTGAAACAAGGCCATCATTTACTAGAAATGATAACGTTGAATTTTCCGTGTAGGAAAAGAAGCCATACAATGATATATTGTTTTCTCTGCTGATTTCATCTTTAATCTTAGGAGTCTACATTTCGCTGCGATGTTATTTCATTCCCAAAACTATTATGTAAACTGTAACCCCACACAACTACCAAGCTTTCCAAGAATTCATATCTATATTTCCCCGTGTTTTGAACAATTGTAAATATCACACTCTCTATTTGAATTAAGGATGTCATTTCCAACAGATATAGGAAAGGGACGTAGGAATCGATATCATGTTATCTTAACCATAGATATATTACAATAGCATAAGTATCCCAAAGCTTGGTCATCATACGGTGTACTTGTTAGCCAAGGGTGTAGTGGATTGGTTATTAAAGGTTGCACTGTATAGTGTCTTTCATTTAAAGCTCAGATGATGTATGTTGGATTGATGCCTCTTTTTTACATCAAAACATCGACTTATTTTTCTTTTGGTGGTTTATGCAATGACGGTTAATTGTAGACTAAGGTTACACATCCATGTGCACTCTGAATTTGACCTCTGAATTTGAATTATTACATTGGTGTGTACAGGTATTGGATACGAAACAGCCAAATGGATATCAATAATGGGAGCCACAGTGATACTTGCCTGTCGGTCGGAAGACAGGGCAAGAGAGTTCTGCAACTGAAATTTACTTACAGATGTATAAAAAAAATCATAAAC